TCGCGCATCATCCTTATTAATATAATATAGCTATAGTTGATACTTGAGCCTTTTTTTCTGAAAATACACACCGACAATGGTATAATGTTTATATTAATAAAACAAATATACCATATAATAACTATAGGATAAATAACAAAACAAATCGAACCTTCTCAGGTAAAAGGTTTCACAGATTTCCCATCCTATATAAGTAGTATCCAACTTTTCCTTACCGCTTAATTTCGTATAATGTCAATAGGAAAGTTCTCGTCACAACGACTTAGTGTCCTGAATAATGTGGAAAGGTACGCAAGGAGTATAACTCTATTCGCTTCCCACGCTCATCGAGTAAATGTAGGTAATATGTATGTATTAGTTCATTATAACTTTTGGAAAACTGTCTTCCGAAACGGTGAGGGATTCGAATTTTACCTTTTAATTTTCAAGTGCTAGAGTGTAAGCACTTTACAATTTAGATATTGAACATTAAAATATGTAGAAAAAGTACGAGAAAAGATTGTCACGGCTGTGGGAATCGAAGCCACGTCTTTTGGTCACGTCATACGTTTTAGTCTTATTTAAAATTTTGTATGGGGCAAAAAATTAATATTTTAAATAACCTTTGCATTTTTTTGCATTCTCCGGAGCTAGCCCTGATAATTCGTTTCTAAATAGAAGAAAGACAAACAAACATACTATTGAATTCATGGCAATGATCGATTCACACGACGTTACACATTTCTCATTTCCTTACCATTGTCATTAGAACTTTTGTTTGTTAACTCTGAAATATACCGTTTTGAAGTTATTTATTTCTTGGTCAATCGAAATCGAATATTAAACGGAATTAAAAGTTTACTATATGCAATTCATTGAATTTTATTTTACTTTATGTGTCCCAATAGCTGGAACTCTTTAAAGCCCTCATAGTTAATACTTGCATTGAAGTGCTTAACGTCTTACACACACATAATTATAAGTTAGATATTGAGATTACCATCCTGCTAGCTATGTTCAAAAATAAGAAAAAGAATCTGATATAGGTAAAGGAGAGCAGGAATATTATAAGCGCCTTTATGCATCGATGTGGATTACGGTAATGTTGAACTTCTCTATACTATGGACATGACCTGGTCTTCGATAGGCGATAAATTACGATTAGAATATCTCTTTAGGATAAAAGTTAGTGCCAACCGTCTATAACTATGAGATAAGTTCATAAAACTCTTAAAAACGAAGACATGTCAATGAGACATTTATTTTAAGGCAATTCATTAGATCTTGCCTTCGCGTAAATAGATAAATATAAAGTTGTTATTCACATTAAATATCCACTTTAGAGTTCAGTCATCTGACTGATTAAGAAATTTACCGTCTCGTTGTCGCGATTGCAAAGTTAATTATAACATTCTGTCGATAACAAAGGAAGGCCGTGCCAAAAAACGCCGTCACCAAGGTTTTTTCAATATTATTTTATTCCATTTTTGTTTTCCACACGACTTTAAGAATTCTGTATGGCTTAATTTAAAACTAACCGCAAAGCCTTCATTAACTTTATATTCGATATTATATACGCAAGTTAACACTATGCTTACTCTTTTAATAGTAAAGAACGCGACCAGTCTCGTAAGATGTATTTGTGTAAGAACAACAATAAGTTAGAATAGTCATGTTAGAGCACATTCTTTTGGTGACATAATAAAAGGGACGAGACACACAGGCATATCTATATTTGTACATATCACATGGTACCTATATCATAAATAAAATAAATATGGATAGAAATAAAACATCAAATAATCATCCTCCGTATCAATTATAATTGTTTACTGTAGTATTTGAAACTAATGCCAATTCCATGTACAGAAACAAAACATATTCTGAGTATCGTTACACTTAAACATGTTTTAGAATTATACCTAATATGCTTTTGTATTCTGTAGCTGTAATGTTAATCAATCTATAAGTTTAGTTAAAAATGCTAACTGCGTAAGCGCCATCATTTCCAAATGCTATTTTAAGAAGAATGCTAAAAAGAATTTCAATTATTGGAAATCGATTATACTGATTGCTGGAAATAGCAGACGTCTAACGCTTTTGTTCCGCATTTCTCCGCGAAATTTTTAATCCTCATTTCTTCTATTAACATTAAAGGCTTTCTAAAACCACCTACCTTAGGGTTCCGCTAAATAATCAGACAAACAGACAAGTTACTACAGGTTCTCTGTCAACTTAGGCTTTTCTATTAAAATGTAAGACTAGGCACCCTTGCGTTAACACAAACACACGGTGGATTAGTTCGGGTGTTGATCATGTTTTTGAAAGGCTCGTAGTGATCACTTAGTGTCAGGACTTGTTTGTTCTTGATCACAATGCTCATAGCACATCTATCTATCTATATACCTATATAAAAATCAATTCCTGTTCGTTAGTCTCGCTAAAACTCGAGAACGGACCGTATTGGCTAATTTTGGATTTGAAATATTTGTGTCAGTCCAGGGAAGGTTTAAACGATGAGAAATTATGGAAAACTTGCATAGAAAATCGAAATGGCGAAAATTTTATTTGCCCATACAAAAGTTCCTACCTGTCAACCTACCTGTCATTATATGGGTGCGTTCCGAAAATTCTTTTACAACAAATAATTTTTACAAAGAATCTATCTGCTTGAATATTTAGTGACAATCACGGCCAAGTTAGAATTATCCAGACGTCCTGAATCAGTAATGCTGCATGTACCAGTCGTGCTGAATCAGGAAGGACCCTTTAAAATGTAACAAGTTTCAACCGCCCAGCACTTTACGTTGTTAGTGCTTTTGGCTAGTTGTTACAACCGGCCGTCCGCCTGACGACAAACCTCCAGACTGGAGAAATACGCATTTATCCAATCACATAAATAATTGTCCCATTTGGAACTCGGACCGACGACCCCCGGCCCCAACGAGTCAATATCATGACTATATTATTCTACAAGTACATGACGCTGACAAATTATTATAGCAATGTTGGCCATGACTGTATACTGTGCACATTATTGTTGAGAAACAAATGTATAACGTTTCTTTTAATCTGGAATCTACTATCACCTTTGGTTTTGTGTTTTCTACTAAAAAACTGGCCAGTCTATAAGAAGGTATGTGGTCTTAAATTAACTAACAAACCTAAAAACTTAAAACTAACTTAACTAGCATTCAGGCTCTGTAAAAGCTGTCAATACTCGTGCCTTTTATTGAGACTTTCTCCACATACTAGGCACGAAACCAAATATTATCGCACTTAAGACATTTGTAAGACAGAAAACCTATTGGAGTAACTTAAACATAGCAGAAGTCCCAACATCAAGATAGTCGCAACTTTTAACATATTACATAGATGACTAGCGACCCTCCCGGGCTTCTATAAACCTTCCTAACCTATCTAGTAAAAAAAAACCGCATCAAGATCTGTTGCGTAGTTTTAAAGATCTAAGCATACGTAGGGACAGACAGACAGCGGGACGACTTTGTTTCATACTATGTATATAATATACAGTATTAGGGATAATAACTAATATTAGGGATATACTATGCGAGTCTGTCCCGTGATGCTGTAAAGGGTTCGAAACGTCGGGGATTATATCTAAACGACTAAAATAAACGATAAATCCGTAAACATGCTTTCATTTATTATACTAGGGAGTTGAATAAAAGTACTACCTTAGAAAAATATCACGTTTTATTAATAATTATAAGATATGTCATCCTAAGAACACCACGTTACATTTTTATGCAAACAATTGTCAAGGCTTAATTTCATATTAACACAACACAATAACATCGTCAGCTCATATACTTCGCACAACTTACATAAGCAAGCATTAGAAACTTCTTCGAGGTTTATGGCACTATTAGTTATAAAGTAACAGCCAATACATGTCCCACTGCTGGGCAAAAGCCTCCTCTATACGGAGGGTATCAGGGCATAGTCCACCACGCGGCCCCACTGCGGATTGGCGGACTTAACATATTTTCGAAATATATATTTTTTTTGTTATTATTTCGAAAATATGCAGGTTTCCTCACGATGTTTTCCTTCACCGCGGAGCACGTGATAAGTCAGCACTTAAAGTTAAAAACTTCATTGGTGCCGGCACCGGGGATCGAACTCAGGTTGCTCGAGTATATTGAATTAAAGGCGAGCGCCCGGACACTGAGCTATCACGACTTTCTCTATTAGTTATATTCATTTATTTTAAAAAACTACTAATATTTATCAAAGTATAAGATATTGTCCCGTTTGGCAGAATTACTTACTGAAATACAAACATTTCATATATGGGGGTAACAATATATCACAAAACGTACATAGTATTATACAAAATATACAAGTGACCAACAGCTAACATAAACACGAATTAAATGAAACATGAAACTAAACCTAACCAACTACATCCGAATCTGTAATATATTCAGATTGCAATGTTTAACTAGAAAAAAACTTAGTTAAAACTTATACAAATTTAGTAAAAATGTATATTAATGTAAAAAATAGTTAAACTAATAGTAAAATAGTCATTGGTCTTTGCTCCAAGTATGCGTAGGATCGTAGACATAGGGCCTTCAAGGAGCGAGCATATTTTGTCTTTATATCTTTCATTCTCATTCAAATAAAAAAAAAACATGGTGCATCAGCTTTGTTTACTTGGGGGAAAACGAGCAAGACACTTATGTACACTATTGTTCAACTGTGTCGTTCCCCTTATATTAAAAGCAAAGCCGAAACCGAGCAGTTTACAGTACTGATCACTGCTTCTTTGAAAAGGATAGCGTCGTCTATCTCGCACACTCTTACCGCTAGATGGCGTTTTTCCGAGATTTTTTCATCAGCCGCTCAACAGCACACCGCGTGGCAAATTAACACCTCCCCCCTCCCTATTACAGCTAACGTTCTCCCGCATTCAAAAGAAGGCTGCGTGGTTGTGTGTTTATAACACACCACCCCCCCCCCCCCCCGCCGCTGCCCTCCCGCCGAGCGGCCTACAGCTCGTCGCGGCGGCGCCCTTGGCCGAGCGCCAGGTCGTCGTGCTGGAACCAGGTGGCGTAGAGCCGGTGCGGCTCGGGCGTCGAGTGGCGGTGGAAGGAGACGGGCCGGTCGCGGGCGACCGCCTCCCGCGGGTAGTCCTGCGGACGCGCCTAGCGCCACGCGGACTCGGTTAGGGATCGAGCGATGCTCGGCGCCCGTTGGAAATAGCCCCCACCCCCTCCCCTAATTGGTTTTCGCTGCCGTATGCAGTACTACGAACGCGGCTCAGCCACAAGCTCGTTGGTGTTCGGGCCCTCAAACATAATTTAGCCATCGGTTCTCAATGTTTTTTGTTCTTTGAACATTACTCTAAGTTCTTAAGCTATAGCCATTACCTTCTGCTATTAATTAGAGGGAAAGCATTACCATCATACCCACATTATTGATTAATTATTCAATTAATTAATTAATCAATTAATTTATCAAAAATTATTAATTATTCATATAATTAATCAATAATGTGGCCACAGGCAACATTACTGATTGATTATATGACTAACAATGAAATGTAATGAATATAATCAGAATCCGTGCGTTCTTCGATGTGGATTACGCAATGCCCATTACCAACACACAACTTTAAGACAGTTAAAAATGGATGCAATTATTGAAACAGAAAACCAAACATCTAGACAAAAACAAGTCGACTAATTAATTAACTAAAATGACTAAAAACTAACACCTCTTAGAAAAGCTAAAATAACGCACCTGATGAAAGAGTGGCAAGTGCGTGAGCATGAACCGAAAATTGGGCCTTAAGTATAAGATGCGAAGATCTAAATTCGCGCACCTGATGGAAGAGCGGCGAGTGCGTGAACGTAAACGCAAATATGGGCCTTATGTAACAGAGCCCAATATCTAAGTTGCACATGGTGGAGAACCAACTGCGTACGGGTGAACGGAAACTTGGGCCTTAAGTATTAGAAGCGAAGATCTAAAACTTGGGCCTTAAGTATTAGAAGCGAAGATCTAAAGTCGCGCACCTGGTCGAAGAGCGGCGAGTCCGCGAGCGTGAACGGAAACTTGGGCCTTAAGTACTAGAAGCGAAGATCTAAAGTCGCGCACCTGGTCGAAGAGCGGCGAGTCCGCGAGCGTGAACGGAAACTTGGGCCTTAAGTACTAGAAGCGAAGATCTAAAGTCGCGCACCTGGTCGAAGAGCGGCGAGTCCGCCGCGAGCGTGAACGGAAACTTGGGCCTTAAGTACTAGAAGCGAAGATCTAAAGTCGCGCACCTGGTCGAAGAGCGGCGAGTCCGCCGCGAGCGTGAACGGAAACTTGGGCCTTAAGTACTAGAAGCGAAGATCTAAAGTCGCGCACCTGGTCGAAGAGCGGCGAGTCCGCGAGCGTGAACGGAAACTTGGGCCTTAAGTACTAGAAGCGGAGAGCTAAAGCGCGCCCCTGGCCGAAGAGCGGCGCGACCGGCGCGAGCGTGAACGGAAACTTGGGCCTTAAGTACTAGAAGCGAAGATCTAAAGTCGCGCACCTGGTCGAAGAGCGGCGAGTCCGCGAGCGTGAACGGAAACTTGGGCCTTAAGTACTAGAAGCGAAGATCTAAAGTCGCGCACCTGGTCGAAGAGCGGCGAGTCCGCGAGCGTGAACGGAAACTTGGGCCTTAAGTACTAGAAGCGAAGATCTAAAGTCGCGCACCTGGTCGAAGAGCGGCGAGTCCGCGAGCGTGAACGGAAACTTGGGCCTTAAGTACTAGAAGCGAAGATCTAAAGTCGCGCACCTGGTCGAAGAGCGGCGAGTCCGCGAGCGTGAACGGAAACTTGGGCCTTAAGTACTAGAAGCGAAGATCTAAAGTCGCGCACCTGGTGGAAGAGCGGCGAGTGCGCGAGCGTGACGTTGCGGGCGCGCGCGCACGCGCCGAGCGTCATGTCGTCGGGCGCGCGCGGCGAGGCGCACGCGCAGCCCCTGAGCAGCCGCGCCGCGCCCACGCTCAGCGCGCAGCCCCCGCCGCCCGTCACGTACGAGTAGCCTGCCACGCACGCGTTCACCGTTGCCGAGCTGTTGGCTTGGGCGTCGGGGTCGCGGGTTCGATTTCCGCACGGGACCAGCATTCGTGTGGCACACGTTGCTAAGCTGTTGGCTTCCGCGTCGGGGGTCGTGGTCGATTCGCACACGGGACAAGCACTTGTGTGTAGTAACAGCCTTTAAATGTACCACTGCGGGGCAGAGGCCTCCTCATTACAGAGGGTACCGGGGCATAGTCCACCACGCGGCCCCACTGCGGGTTGGCGGACTTCACATACTTTCGAATCTTATCATATCTTTTTTTTATTATTTACATTTTTTTATTTCGAAAATGTGCAGGTTTCCTCGCGATGTTTTCCTTCAACGTTGAGCACACACAAAATTCAACACATAAAATTAATAATTTCATTGGTGCCGGCACCGGAGATCGAACTCAGGTTGCTCGAGTATATTGAATTAAAGGCGAGCGCCCGGATGATGAGCTATCACGGCATTTTATATGTGTATAAGTATTTGTGTGACCCACAGATAATTGTTCCGGAACTTTGTGCTTTGTTTCCCAAAGTGGGTTGACGTCAGGCGGCCGATCGTTTAAAACATAGGCAAATATGTTGAGCCGACCTCTAGGTTAAGGGCAGGAGCATGACGACGTTATTGAATCACAGGAACTTGGATAAGTGTCCTGCAAAAGGTAAGTGAAATTATCGTCACCTTTGGCGGCGGTCTCCGGCTTCCCGTAGCCGTAGCCGTAGCGCTCGCCAAGCACCGTGGCGTGGGGCCCGCCGCGGTAGCAGCTCAGCACTTCGCACAATCTCCGTACACTGCACGAGACATACATATAGATTCTTTTGAAGTTATACCCCTTTTGGAACGTATGGAAAAGCCGATGAGATGAAAAGACGACACCTAAAAGCGACACCAGCATCATGGTGCTACTATGACAACGACAAATAACAACGTTTTCGAAATTTACCCACGATCGCAAGTTGTTTAATACAGCCGTTATTGTGTTTAATATCTCTTTTTTCCAAACTAATAAAGAGTAGCGTAATAATAGCGGGATAATTTTTTTATTTATTTTTCATATTTTTGTAACTTCTTACGTGCGCACTACATAAGGAGACAAAAACGCTGTACGATACAAAACTGTACGAGAGAGGAAAAATGTTTGAGGATGGGCATCCAGTAAAAGAAGAAAAAGCATTTGATGGTCGAGAGCTTTTGATCGTATAACAGAGCGAGTCATTATTAACATAGGCTCTGATGTGTCATCAGACGAGTGTGATGATAAATGTAATGAAGATGCAGTGACCGTTATACTATTAGATTTATAATATCGTTAGTGACCGTTATAATATTAGAGTTATAATATTTTTAGCATAATCAAAATGTCAATATTTCCTTTATTAAACATTGATTTTTTTGACTATGTCCACTTTTGTCGATCACTCACACAAATGCAAGGCTGAGCTTTCTCACTTTCCTCTATCAGCCTCAACGTTAATATTGACATATTTCTCAGACATATCATTCTACGCACAGTACATGCCAGCATTTCTCTTCGTCTTCCTAGACCTAGGCCTTCACAGCCGTACTAGCCTCCAAGTTCTCACCGTGTATCAGGTCTACCGTGCCTCCTTTACAGTTCTGATGGTCTATCAATGACAAACAATGACAACGGTGGTGCCTACCGTTTAACCTAGACCCTACTCCTCTACCTCTACCTTCTAGACCTCTGCTGAGAATGCTGAGAATGTCCTACGGTGTGCCTACCAATGAACCTAGACCCTACTCCTCTACCTCTACCATCTAGACCTCTGCTGAGAATGCTGAGAATGTCCTACGGTGACCCTACCAATGAACCCTGACCCTACTCCTCTACCTCTACCATCTAGACCACTGCTGAGAATGCTGAGAATGTCCTACGGTGGTGCTTACCAATGAACCTAAACCCTACTCCTCTACCTCTACCTCCTAAACCTCACCCTAAAATCGTGTCGTCATCGGCCAAGAAGATCCATCTGACGTGCGGCATGCCCTCGACCATTTCAACGGCGCGTTTCAATATCGCCATCGTCTTGGCGCAGTGGCCCGTCCTCGTGTTCGGTACGCCCGTATCTATTGTCGGAATGGACGGGTCTGGAACAACGGGCGAGATGAACGAGTTTGTCCCACACTAAAACACAACACTGTATTTCATCCTTTTAAATGAGCATGCCAAAACTAGTACAGAGTGATCTAGGGTTGGCCCTCGTTATCGGAGTAGCGTTCAGCAAGGCCCTAACAAAGCGGGAATCTAAACTCGCCTAGTATTAGATAATCCATGGTAACTTTAGTCTCTATGTTAATTGTGTCCAATGAATCTTTACACAGCAAAGAAAACACAGTGCAGCAAAAGCAAGGAGAATTCGATTCCTGAAATTCAGATGTATTTACATGGACAAATAACACATTAGATAACGCCGCATTGTTTAAACGGCAATAAAAACAAAGTAGGTGAGGATGTCGACCGTATAGTTTAGTGGCGTCTGGATGCGAAATCCAGAAGGCTCAGTTTCAAATCCTGACAAGCACTAAAATTAAAAATTAAATACACGAATGTTGAAATTACATAAAAGGTAAAATATAAATGCTCACCTGCTTTATCGCTAAAGAAGTAGAGGTTGGTGACGTGTTTGCCCCATGTCTTCTTCACCACCTTCGCTCTGGTCGAATGGAAACCGCTCCAGGTCTTCACCGCGAAGAATATTGACTCTTCGGGAATGGGACTACCCTAACGAAAACTGGACATTATTCTTCTTCAAGGGGTCCCTCCTCTTTTGGAACAATTCAAACAATAACATTTACTAACATTACTCTAAAGAGGAACGTTAATCGCGATTCCAGTGTTCTCCAGTAATTTTTTTCTGTTCAAGTTTACAACAATAACGCCCGGATTCTGAACCACTCTCGTGTCAACTAATCAGCTGTCAAATGGCTTTTATTTTTATTTTTTTCAGAATTATCTTCTTAATGATCAGATGATAAATTCAAAGAGTTTAACCAACCTTTTGGCAATTCAAATGATATTTTAATAATGAAAAGCCATTAGACAGCTGATAAATTAAAATCTACAATGATATCGGTGTTTCAGAAACGGGGCGTAAATGTTTTACGCTCGATAGGAGACATTGATAGTAACTGTCTATCGGCCTTGATAGGATCAACTAAACATGACTCATTCTAAGCAACCACTAATATATAAATACACACACACACGCACGCACGCACGCAAGCACGGACGCACGCACGCACGCACGCACGCAGGTATGAATCGTCAAATTTTACATAAAAAATTATACATAAAGGTTCGTAAGGTACCACCGGTTCGGAAAGCAGTTTCTGTTGAGAAGAGACCGGCAAGAAACTCAACAGTTGCTCTTTTTCAAAAATATCAGTTTACAATATAAAATACCGGTATAATTTCCTGAGACCTACGCCATAAACCCTACGAAGCTCCTACCGAAGACTTCCATATCGCTAATCTATCGCAGTCGCAAACATATGCAAGTGTACGGTGATAATACAATAATAAAAACAAAAAATCATACTCACACATATATCAAACTGCCTTGGATAAGTGGCGCAGTTCTCTCCGGAGACCACACAGAAACTCATATCGGGTGTTAGAAGCGGACCCGGGCTACTGGGTTCCCCGTACACCAGTTGCGCCAATTCATACGCGGGGTCTATTGAGAAATCCGCCTCTAGTTTCCTTTTGCCGCTTTCGATTTCGTTTAACAGGCTAAAAACGTATATAGTCGTGTTACACGAAGCGTGCGCAAGCTACGAATGTATGTTTCCGAGAAAATGTGGTAAACGAGACGGTGATCCATACGACGATAACTGGTAAGTCGTAAATTAAGGCTGCCCATGAACACCTACAGAACCCGTGGAATTACTATTACCTATCCATCCTCTACTATGAGAGAGTGAGCCCCGGATACCTCACTTACAGGACGGAAAGTAAAAGTATAACACTTCCACTTCACGCCGGGCTTCTGTGAGGTCGTGGTACTTAGACGGACTTGCCCATTCTTGCAAAAGAGAAGAATGTTGGGTGGCCCTACCACATTAAAAAATGAAAAGGATAATTTAAAAAGGATAATTTTTACCGCACCAAAGTTAAATAATAGCACTAAACGAAGTTATCCAATCGACTTACTTTTCCATTAGTTGTATTCTCATGGCGAAACCGCTTGGAAAATTGGGATAGACAAAGCCCCCCTCCTCCTCAAGTTCCTCGTGGATCATGAAGTGGTGAATGATAGTCGGTTCGTTGTCACTCAACGGATACCCAACCCACATCGTGTCCTACAAGCGAACAGTAATCGTTTGCGGCATAGATTTTCTCTAATACAAATTCCAATATCTTTATTTAATGTAGAAACAAAACTAACGATGACTCCGTTATCACACATACATATTATATAATATATTCACCTTATCAGCTATGTATATATATATATATATATATATATATATATATATATATAGCTAGCACCCACACTTCTCTCTCACTAACTTTCCGGTTGATTGGTCCAAAATGCTTTATGGCATTAAGCCCGCCGTTTGTACCAGTTAGTACAATAAAGTGTGCAAATAAATAAATAAATATCATGTGCCGAGCAGGAACAATAAAGCATTCGATGTCGTTGTCACAATAAATCTAATTCTTCCTAACCAAAACGTACTGTTTCCCCGAAACGACATTGTGACACATAATAGGTGGAGATATAATGGTATAATTAACGTATGAGAATGACTTATAACATTGCTGAGTTTGATTAGTAAGAGCGTGTTAAACCATTAAGTAATTTAGTGGTGATAAGCGTTCATCAATCCTCACCTTTCGGGAATCGGCTGCGGCGAGCGCTGAGAGCAGCTTACCGCATCTGACGGCGGTGTGTGGCTCCACGAAAAGCACCCAACGAACATCACCACCACTATATTTCGCGATGAGTGGCCTCAGCAAAGGTATGATAGTCCACGCACCCCTCACTGGGAAATCCTCGTGCGTCACGTGCACCATTGGCCGCCGCTAAAAGATATTACTCATGACCCCAAAGGTATAAACTAAAATTATTGTCTACCGTGGGAAGCTGTAGACAATAGTTTTATTCTTTAGTGTATTAGGCGTGGCTTTCTAATACGGAAATGAACAAATCTTGATCTTCATCAGCCAGGAACATGCGAATTAGTACTGCACTGATTATTATTATATAGAAATCAGGATGAAATCATCATACACTGGAGGGCACCGCACCGACGGGCCTGCCCTTAGTTCGGGTCAATAACAATTTATATTCAATATCTTCAAGAAGAGAGCCTATTCCTTCCGCAAAGACCGGCAACGCATTTGTGACCTCCTCTGGTGTTGCGACTTTCTGCGGGCAGCTCTGACACATACCACCAGTTAGCCTGCCAGCTCATTTGCCACCTTTTCAATAAAAAAAATGTGAAACGTTGTGGGAGTTTATTCAAAAACACGAGGCAAAGCAAACTTAATGCTAATAGGTAATAGGAGAATTGTTAAACTAGTTATCAGCACCTTTGTGTCGTTAACTTTGTCTGCAATCAATGCAGATGTACGTATGAGGGATAAATGAACCGCCACTTGAATACAAAGTGGGGTGATACAACGCGTGACACAAGTACGAATGTATCAATCAACGGTACCTACAAAGATAAATTCATATGCATAGCCATTAGAACCAATATAATATCTAGATGGGAAAAAATGTAATATCTAAATGGTTATAATTGATGCTTCTTTCAGTTGTCGTGTCTTAACGGACTTCCAAATAAAAGATTTTCCTTTTTCGATACGATGCGAAGATTGGTATCTATGGAATCAGACTAGGATAAAGAGCAATCTACTAGAAAACATAAAACAAAAGCCTCAATTTTTATCATCTCAATTATAGGTGATTTTTATCTGTCTTTAGTCTTTTGTTTTTGATTCAATTATATCACAATTTATAATAAAAATTATTAGAATGAACCACTTACCCCTTCCAACTCCATGACTTGCTTCTCAATATCTTGCCTAAGTCGACTGGCAACACTGGCATGGTACGGCTCTGACTGGCTGACAATTGTAAACACAACATTTCTGGAGTCTGCAACGATTTATACATATAATAGGGATAATCATAAAAACTGTAATACAATATAAATTGATATAACAAATAAATGTTCTCAATTAAGGTATAAGCCTATATATGTCCCACTGCTGGGCATAGTCTACCACGCGGCCCAACTGCAGATTGGTGAATTTTACATATCATTAATACTCTCTTTCTATTCATTCATTCATTCAATATAGGCTTAACTTAAGCTCTTATTGCTCGTCAAAAAACACCACCGGTCACTAAACTAACATTGAAATATTTTTTTTTATATTTCGAAAATATGCAGGTTTCCTTACGATGTCTTTCTTCATCGCTGAGCACGTGATAAGTCAGTACTTAAAATTAACAATTTCATTGGTACCGGCACCGGGGATCGAACTCGGGTTGCTCGAGTATATTGAATTATAAGTGCCTTACTGATTGTAAAAAAAAAATTAAACGTAAAGAAAACGCTTTGTGTATCATTAAACGAATTAATGCGGTCTCTGAACACAGTCGGGACAATTCCTTTACGTAAAGAAGTTAGAAACTATAATGACGATGAAGTTGAGGGCCAAAGTTCTGCTTTGACTCACAGAAAGAAAGAAAACTTAGGTCGTTTATAATACACCAGCCATAGTGGAGGGTCTTTATGGCACTTCTTTTCTATTCTTTATAATTCTGTACGTTGATTATTAAAACTATTTACGGACCCACAGGTAGGAAATTGAACGTTTAAATTAAACGGAATGTTACTAACTTAATACGGAAATATTTATATTTAAACAGAAAGCAATTAATGTATGAATTTAATACTACACGTGTTCATATTCTCAGCGGTGGAAGGAAGATCGCGCGGTAACTTGAAAGTAATAATAAAAAAATTTTTTCGAAGACATGTCCGAATCGACACGGGCACAATAGAACTAGAACCCTGTCTCTTTAAGGCCCTTAACTAGCAATGGGACATATGTATATAGACTGTTATGTATAATATGTACTTTACCTAGATTTTTTGATAGCTTCGCCAAATTTGTTTCTTTTTTTAAAAAGAACATATTCGTGACATATTTATGTAGGTCATACATTAAAAGTTTCAACAAAATCAAATTGGGATATCTAAAACTTTTATCCGTCATAACCGGATGCTATAAATTAAAATGCGTACACTACTAGCGAACTGTAATTAAAAATAAAGAAATTAAATGTAATTCTAAAACGTTGAATTCGTAGTAATCTAAAAAAAATACCACATTGCAAAATTGTTTATATTCCATTCATATGTAATAATTATTTGGAGATCATTTTGTAGTCTATACATCTGAAAGTTCCATGAAATTAAATTATTGTAAAGAGCGAGGGGTATCCTAAGACGCAATATGAATTTTGACATTATGGTCATTTTTATAAATTCAACGAGTGGACCAAAATCTTTTATTATTGTTTAAATAACCGAAAATCGTAATGTGCCCGTTTCGTTCGGTTGTACTCTGCGCAAAGTTTTTGTTGTAAATAATACCAATTTCTCTTTGAAGAAATTAGGCCTTAATTTACCAAAAGCTTTTAAGCAAAAAATCTATACTTATAGTATTACAATTATGCATTAATGTAGAAAAATAATTATTTCTCATGATTTAAAACATTTGTTGTAATGAAATTAATTTGTGTGATTAAAAAATCAACTTACCAAAGCACGTGGCGAAATCGAAGAGTATGAAAATCAACACTAAATGCATGTCTGCAACAAAATAAAAAGCTTTTTAATTACCAAAATCAGAAAACAATCACGAGATCAGCGGTAATTACAACAGATTAATATTACGAAAACGGGTCATGTTACTAAATTGATTCATATTTATTTAAAAAATTGTATTAGGTCTTTTATATAATCTGTGAGACTTCAATTCCCGAACTCGCGTACGTTTTGGCGGGAAGTTACGAGTTACAGCTGCAGGCGACAAGCGTGCACCTCCCTACACGGTCCGAAACTTACTGAATCATCCCCCAAAATCTCCGGAGTGCTTATTCGGTTAAGTTAACTGATACATTATTCACGGATTTCCTCTCTGCGGTATCCGTGATATGCGACATAAAACGACAAGGTACGGTCAAATTCAATAGATTTGTTACATATAACATATGGAAAACGTAAAAGAAGGTACGTATCGCTTATTTTTCATATTTTTTATTTAGTAACTCTGACAATAAAGAATTTAATGTTAGTGCAAGAGAAGAATTTAATATGATGCAAGTAATTATACAACATCCATGTAACAGGATGTTGTATAATTATTAGTTTTTTAGAACGACTGGTCGAGGTTGGACCGTAGTTCGAACGAAAATTACTAATACGTTGGTTCATCTTTTTCACAAATTAAAATGTAGTGTTCTATTTCGAGGACCACCCGATGGAGGCCGCGCGAAAACGCATATATTTATTTGAGAAATGCCAGCCTACATTTTAATACTGTTAGAAGTAAAATAAAATAATTATATGCAGACAACAAAAACAAATACAAAATAATTGTTCAAAGCAAGTACATAATATATTATAAGAGTTGGCGCCCGAGCTTGTCCCGATGATTTTGAATTATGCCCGCGGATTTTTTTAATATATATCCGGCCAATGCTTGACCATGGTAAGTCCACCTGATGGTAAAGCAATGTGGCCGTAAATAACAAACGCGCGAGCCCATTAAAAGCGGTGTTAAAAGCAACAGTCTCCTCGGTGGCACGAAAGGGTAGTCCGGATAAGTACAAGCCAGCTTGAATTCGAAGTGTTATGGTACTGCATTTCGTCTGGTGAGTGAGGTAGCCGGTGCATTTAAAGGCGGCAACGCATCTGCACCCGTAGGTGTTGCAAATGTCAATGGGCGGCGGTAATCACCTAACATCTGGTGAACCGTAACTTCTCACATAAAAAGAGTTATTCACTCCAATCTTGAAAACGCCACATTACACCATCACCCTACTCCCGATGCCCACAACACCTGGGATTTGCAGTTGTGTTGGCAATCTTTAAGGCGTCCCTGGTTACGTCACTTTCGAGACAAAAATCTCCTCAAACCCTCTCGCCTCTACATTTTCAATTTGCAAGAGTAGGACTACTGCAGACCACCACAAAACGAATATAGAACCAATGTAGATTAGTTCTTACTAATTAAATTAAAATCGTATCATTTAGGATTTAATTACGATCGAAGTACAGCAATTTCATTACTAGCATGGTAATTGTAGGAGTGTAAAACGAACCTTTGGGTGCGGTCTTTTTAAAGGATTAAGATAACGACTTAAATGCAAATTGCATTGTATCGATTTCGAATTTTTTTTTATCGTATGTTGAGAAACCATGACTATAATTTAGTATTCACATGCTTTTTTTTGTTTGGTATATATTGTTTGGTATATTTTGCTGTATATTTATTTAATTATAGGTACAATGAAATAAATTAACAGTCTTTGAAAGTTTCTAAATTAAAAATAATGAAATTGCAATTAATTAATATTTAAAAAGCTAACTAGTTTTTTTATCTATTTCCACTTTGCTAAGTTAGATATCGTTATAAAGAGATAAAGGGTAGTATGGATGGGACATAACGCTTTTTCCATACGTGTCGATTTCTAACAACTCACATTTCATCGGGACTGCGCTCCATTAAATAATGCAACTGGTAATGACCATGCAGCCGTTGCACCTGGTTATCATATTTTGTAGACTGTAATTATACCGTACACCGTAATTCCCAGATAATATCAGAATTTCGGCCTTTATTAAGAAGTACTTACCATATTTTTCCCCACCTTTACCTCTTATATTTACTTTCACTTATCAGATCTAAAAGAATCCACACCACTCTCAGCTGAGAAAATTGTCGGTGAACATGATTTGTGAGATCCGCTGATCTATTGTTGAAGAGAAGTCTTTAACAACAGAAGATAGTCTCAGCATATTTATATTTATAGAAAGCCTTTGTAATGTATCGACAATTATAAACGGTTAAGGGTCTGTTCACTGTTCAGGTGCTTTGAGGGCCGCGTAGAAAATAAGTCTGACTGATTGAAATTCGCTCTGGGGGTTCTGTAGACGTACCTTCGTCATCAAAAATTGAGTTTCATAATTTAGTACTTCTATTATCGCTTAATAGAGACAAATGTTGTTTCGTAAATCTCAATAGCAACGTTGTTCACGATTACGTATATATCTGTAATGGAAACAAGATAGAAAGGCGTTCTGGACTACGAACAGAAACGGCGGACTGAAGCCTCTGTTTGTCTGGCCCCTTCGATACCTCTAAACTGTATCCTCTGAAACGACTTGGACGAATATCGAGGACGATAGAAAATCCAGCGATTTGTGTTCTTGAACGAATGCTACGACTACAGGAGAAAGTAGGAATAATTCTAAAGAATTTCAAGCAAAATGTTCATCGTTAAATGTGTTTCATACTATAAAATATGGACACGATTTTTTTTTATGCGAAAAGTGGTCTAACGAGCAGACGGTTCACCTGATGTTAAGTGAATACCGCCGCCCATGGACATCTGCCACACCCAAGAGTTACAGATGCGTTGACAACCTTTAGAAAATTGGGCTCCGGCTACCTCACTCACCAGACGAAACGCGAAAGTATTTGTCATACTTCCACTTTACGCCGGTCTTCTGTGAGGTCGTGGTACTTACCCGGACGGGCCTGCCCATTCGTGCAACAGCCGAGGCTGCTGCGTGGCCCTACCACCGTGAAACACTAGAGCGCTAGCTAGGCATTGCTATAAATACAATGAAGAACGTAGATAGATATCGATATTTTCGCGGCGTTAGGTCATCGGCTACTTGGCTTAATTGGTACAGCGCGCCGCGTTAATAACACTGCGGTGTGTCGTTTCACGTCCAGTCTTTGTTAATTTATCTAATAAAATCCGCATTTTAAGTAGGAGTAGGGAAACTTTCGCGTAACTTTCGGTAAATGAGACGACTGGAGAACACTCAAAGACTGGCAACGCAATGGCAATCTACTGACATAATGTTCCTAGGTAAACATTACAATTTACATGATAAACATCGCCAGTCACACTCATTTATACGGCGAGGGACTGCCAGACTCATTTCTTTTCTTTCTTTCTTTTTTTTTTTAAAACACTTCCCTTACTTTAGGATAACACTATCCTGTGTTGTTAGGACGTTTTACAAACATATATTTCACGCGGACAAACACCCAGATGCGAAACAACTATCTGTGGGTCGCGCAAATAGTTGTCCCGTGTGGAAATCGAACGTACGACCCCCGACGCCGAAGCCAATAACTTGGCAACTGCGCCACGGAGTCATCATTTATTCTCAAGGCAACTCATGTATATTGACAGTGATAACTTATTTAACCTCGATATACAACACTTTACAGTAATGCTACCTGCATTACTTATTAATAATTACTCCTTACAATGTAATAAAATATTACATAATTTATAAATAATACTGGAATAATCAACTCATTGTTTATTTTTTATTAATGCTCTTTAATTTTAATCGTACATCAAATTGAGTTTTGATGTTTTTAATATATTTTTCCTGCAATTTCCTTTTTATATTGCGTACTAACTGCAGTTTGGTTATAATTTTAAAGATGTCAAATTTTAAATATTACTACATTAGATATTTGCAGTGGTCATTGGGACTTACTAACTAACTCCTTTCACACAAAAGTAAATAATACTTTAAAATTTTTCTTTTCAAACATAAGGTTCATTGTTCCTTATAGATTGCAGCACAAATTAACCATGTAAAATATTTTTTTTAAAACACAAAAGTGTAACATATAATGGTAAGTGACCTCTGGCTTATTTCCATAACAAGGACAATAAAGTTATGTTTTATGATGGTGTGCCTCCGACTATGACCCAATGCAAAGCACAAGCACAAGTTATGTATACATTATTATTTATGCAAATAGCAAAATATCTAATATATAAAATTCTTGTGTCAATGTTTGTAGTTGAATTCCTCCGAAACGGCCAAGCTGATTTTCGTGAAATTTTGTGTGCATATTGGCCAGGATTGAGAATCAGACAAACATCTATTTTTAATCCCCCTAAATGTTAAGGGTGTTCCACCCCAAACATTTTTTTCTACCTTACAAATAATTTATATTATGGCAAAACAATGTTTGCCGGGACAGCTAGTTAACATATAAATATTAAGCACTTTAAAACTGAAGGTAAAGTAAACATGTAGGAAAATATTTTACAAGTTTATACACTGTTAGCTGTTATATGTTTGATGTTTTGGTGTCTCTGCCCAATGGTTGTTTACAATTACAGGTACAGGATCTTTAATCTGATATGAATAATACATTATTTGATTCTATAAGCCTAAACATATAAATCACAGTGCTATTTAGGTTTTGTAATATAATAAAACCAAAATCTTTATTTTTAATTTAGACTTTCTAAGAGATAATCTTTTTAAAGTTAAAATAAATATAAGATATATACATAGAATAAATTATGAGAGAATAAAGAAACAGTGATACTAAAAGAAACTTTGGTCTTCCCATAAAGATGCAAAGTTCTTATTATAATCAGATTTTCAATATAATATTTTCCAATACTTTAATTTTTAAGCTGAAATCTAAAGCGACAACTTATTAATTCATGAGCTCAATATGAGTACCTCGTAAACGTAAAAGTTGTTATCGAATGCAAAATTTTAATCAAGTTTTAATTGATTAATAAGCAACATATATTCATACAAAATGATTAATTACCTTAAAATATATTCTTGAAAATATTTAACGTATATCTTTGACACTTATTTTATGAAATAGCATTGAAAGTAATAAAAATAAAAAACAAAACAAAAACAAAAAGTTTTCAATAGGCCGACTAAAAATTTAGGTACCAAGTAGTACCAACTTTTAAATATTTGACATCTGATTTGATTTTTTTTAAGTAGGCAATACTTTATTTTGTCGTTGTCAAAGTTTTCATTCTTTCTAGTTAGTCATAACGGGACTGAAAAATGTTTCAAAACAAATAACGAAAAAAAAAAAACGCTTGTGAACTTATTAAACCTACGCACAATGATACTACATACAAATACGAGGTACATGGTATAGGTGAAGGCACTAAAAATTACGCTAATTAGTGTTATTAGATTGCAATTGTATAAACTGCTATCTCTTTCCGTCTCATAGATTCTATATTATCTGTCACATTCACTTAGATATGTCATATAATATAAAAGCGGAAAAATTTTTAAACGCCTCGCAGTATGGGCATGCTTATCAATATTATTAAACATCATAGCCAGCGTGACCAGATTTAGTAGATTTCTACTTTTTTGGTAGATTTTGAGGTACTGGCGACAGAATTTAATTTGTAAAAATTATTTGGTATATTTTAGTTGAATTCACGCTTATCAGTTATTATAATACTTTTTTGGCTTATCGGATAAATGCGGGGTATTCCCCCTTTCATAGAATGGATTGTTACTATTTAAATTTCATTCTGTTGGTCGTTTGATTCGTGCTGTTAGCATAGTGTGATAGACAAGTCTGAATTCCTTTATTGAGAATTTTTATAATCGAGTTTTAAATGAAACTTAAATATACACAAGGATATCACGATGAATGAGAGCAATATCCCTCATTTAAAAGTTGGTTATGTAAATCTAAGGTAAACACTACGAGTGCTCATTGTAAAGCATGCAACTGTGAAGTACTAAGTAGATTGGCGTCGTTGAAGGAACACATGGCTACATCAAAGCATATAAAAAATATGAAAGGATATTCCGGCATTTCTCAGGTGTGCAAGTTACTAACGTTAATATGTGCAATGTAATTCTTAGTTAATTATTCCTGTTAAGACTTTTTTTACTAGACTTTTTTAATACTTTCGACTATGTAGTAGTGTGAACCTGTATTATGTTAAAAAAAACATTCATTGTCAACTGCTAATAACTGTTATATGTCTGAAGCGAAAAATATACTAGATTTATGATTTTAGTGTTTTCTCGTTCTCTTTTGGTAGAATTCAGTAGTTTTTAACCTCGACAAGCAGTAGATTCGTCAAATAAAATCTGGTCACTCTGATCCTATCCTACGCACGTAAGAAGTTATAGTTCTTTATATTAACAAAAGAAAAATAACCAAAAATTCTATCCCCTGTACCAGTACTCTTTGTTTGTGAAAAAGACATTAAATGCAATTGCTAACAGGTTAATTAGATAAGTAATTTTATTAAGTATAATTGCAAACAATTTTAAGATATTTCTGTTTCATACATATTTTATGCATAGGAATAGGACTTATGAACTGACAAATAGTGTTGAAAGTATAATAATGCAGAAGCAAAACGTCATGCGATCTGTCATTTGATCATTAATACCAACTACATTAGTAGATACCAAAATGAAACCTATTGCATTGAAATAAAGATGTAAATACTTTATGAATTCAAGATCACCACAATAACAAACAATACACTAAATATTACTTCTTTACTTATGTTATTTTGTTCGTATTTTACTTCAGTTCGGATTAGACGTGTCTGTATTTTCCATACTTACTTTATACTTATGTATAATTTAACTATTGTAACACCTTATCAACTCGAGAAAATTATCTTTTGTGAACTTTTAGTTTGCAGTTTGCACTCAGTTAGACTTTGACCAAGTGAAAGTGTGCTAGAAATATTAATCATTTATTGTTAATAGTTGAAAAAACATGAAGTGCAAAGAAAATCAAACTGCAATGGACAATGAGCTTAAAGATTTGTTTCCGGATTTACCGAATGGTCCACTGGATGTGTACAGAAAGAAAGCAAGCTTCAATTGGCGGCGTATGAAACTTGTTTATGATAACTTGGACACGATGAAATTAAAAGTATGACTTGTTTTTTTATTTATTATGATAACATTTTATTTTTTTAATTAATGTATATACCGACGAATTTAATTAATGTATATTAATATACCGACTGGTCTATTCTATTGTAAGACTTTTGATATGTTATAAATTCGGTACCTGAAACCAATATCAATCATCAATAATTAAAAAATATAACCTATGTTAATTTTTACCACAAAAACGCGCACTTTTTACACGCTAAATTCAAAAAATAATTGAAATTTTGAATTTATTGAGAGCTAGAATAGTAAAGATTTCATTTCATTTCATTTGACCCACATGAAACCTGTAATTTATGTTTAATATTCATTATTCTTTAGAACTTTACTTTGATACCAACTTAAACTGGCAATATCACATCAATATAATTATTATCAGGGTCTGTATATAGACTAAAATGGGTATTTGAAAGTATATGTAACATGTCTGACCTGTTCCTCCATAAGACAGTTTACTCTTTATGATAATTCTTGATCACCTATTGTATCTCAGTTTAGGCGGCTATTATTCTATAAGAGATTTTGGTTTAAATAAACCTTTATTAGTATTAAGTATGAATTTAGATTCAACAAAATTTTATCATGACAATAAAAACTACTAATTGTATAGAATTATATACTATTAAAAAATTTTTATTGGTATTACTTGTATCACATTTATCTATAATAATTTTCGTGGTGACATTGACAAATTCCATATTTAGAATTGCTTACAACTTTTTCTGTTAAAACTGTCTCTCTTTTTTTATTTATAAATACTGTATTAATAAATTTATGAATAAATTCAAATACAATGGGAATATATTATATTAATCAAAGTTAGATTTGAACTTAACCAAAAAATGGGGAATTTAAAATAAAACATATTAAATCCTATCAATAGTTTCATTTATTATTAATGTGTAGCGTTTGTAAAATGTAAGTTTTACTTACAAGCTTATGTTTAACTTTGAACATTTATGTAACCTTTACATACCGTGGAAGTAAAACTAAAAAAAAAAGAAAATTAAATAATTAAAATAATTAATAAAGTAATTTCATTTATTATCAATGTATTAATTAATAATATTTTTTTATTTTAAATATATACTTCAGATATATACAGCGTAAATATTTAAAAATCAGATGCTGTATAACATATGGTTATGTGGTTCATAGCATAGTTTCATATCGGCATTTCTCTGGCAAAGGTCAGACAAACCCTTATCACAATAGTTTACTGTCCTATTTATGTATACTAGTGGTCGCCCAGTGGTCGAAATTCAACCATGATTATTATACATAGCAGTGTGTGTAATATTTTTTTAATGATTTAATGTATCCTTTATGGATAATTTAAAAATGGATAAGGGTGGCTCCATACTCCTCCGTCTGCGCAATTTTAGTTAAAAGGTATACAAAGTTTTTGCTTCACTTATTAATATATAGATATCATAATATGCCGATAAAAATTAATTGTGCCACTAAATTATTTATTATATTTAAAATTACAACAGATGGTGATGATGATGAAGATGTCTTGCAGTACAGTCTGGAGATCCCACACAGTTTATTTAAAATCTATATGTGTATGTAATTATTGATCTCAGTGCAGTTTTAATATAACCTTTAAACATTTCGCCCAAAAGAGTAGGTAGCTGAGTTCTTAGGCTCTGTACTATATTAATCCTAAAGATGGGTGCTGTTTGAGTACAATTAAGCTGTGTCTGTAATATTAGGTTTCTTGTAGTATTTCACAAAAAAATATTAAATCACTGTCATGATTATCATACTGTCTCATGCTATCAACATGTCTGCTTGTCTGCTATTATTCAAATTAAAATAATTTCGATGACGATGTTTTTTATGCATTCACAAGAAGTACTATATACTAGGAATTTTAAATCATCATTTAATTTGTTCGTTTTATCGTTAAGTCCCCTAAACTTGAAATTGAATGAAATGAATACAATTTAGTTCATTGCTCCCGAAAACGATTAATTAAATGGACACCGAGTCATTCAATCGATTTTAGTCATTTATCGTTCATTTGCATCTATTTACTGTGCCTATGTCGACGGAATTGATTGTTGCTCGGACGGCACAGTTGAACTTATAGGCTTCCGGAAAACGATGGTCGTGGGTTCGGTTTCCTTCGGCAGCAGGTATTTTAATAACCTGCATTAGCATAAAATGTCATTGCCTACAAATGATTGTTTCGCTACTGGACCGGGGTCTTTTGTCTTTTTGTATTATGTATGTGAAACGGTTTGTTAAATTTTGTGTGATGCGCAAACTATTGTTCAGAGTTTAAATTAAAAATAAAGTTAAGAGTTAAATGCATAATTTATGTAGTGTTCGAAAATTGACGTTAGGAAAAACCCACCCACTAGACTGTGTGGGCCTGTGGGCCGTTATTAAACGGTTTTATTTAGCTCGACACGTACGGAATTTATTTGTTTATTTGGGTCAAAATTAGAAATTGAAATTTAAGCACCTTCCCGTTGTCAGATTTATCTGAAATTTGGTACACACATTTAATTTAGATGACAATACAATATTGTAGTTTTCAGTGCACAAAAAAAAACAGAAAATAAAACCGTTTAACTTAAAAGTTTTTAAACGGTTTTATTTATTATAAAAATAATATGGACAAACAAACAATTGTGTTAAGACATGATATTTATCTAATTACAGTGAACGCTATTAAAATATGGAAGCGGCACTTTCATACAAGTTTTAGATAAAAATTAGTTAAAAAATAGGACGACAACTCTCACTGACAATTTCACGCACATAATATGTATAAATCAATAATACACTGAAGTATCGTCAAACAAAAATGATTTTTTTTATTAGCTCAACTAAGTCTACAACAATAATGCTTGCATGTTTATTTGTAAGTTAGTCCCATCTTCCATATATACAGTAATAACAGATTAGCTTATTATAAAAGTTTAAATGTTACGTTAAAATACACCAACTGACAAAAGGCCTTGTGTGCGTGATTGTCCTGACAAAAGGCCTCGTGTGATTGCCGTTTATCGGTTGGGTTTATCTGATTTAATTTGTCAACAGAATGACATTTGGAGCTTCATGCGTGATAACCCGTTGTTCAAGCACAGCGATGAAACCTTGTCACTCGACGAGCAACGCCATATCACCACCAAACGGATGTACGCGATTTACGGACAGAACTTCATACCGTTGGAGAAGGTACGGCGTCGCTATGATTTTTTAAGATTCCGTACCCAAAGGGTAAAACGGGACCCTATTACTAAGACTCCGCTGTCTGTCTGTCCGTCTGCCATCAGGCTGTATTATTACTGTGGTGGCCACGCAACAGTTTTCACTGTTGCACGAGAGGGCAGGTCCGTCCGGGTAGGTACCGCGACGTCACAGAAGACCGGCGTAAAATAGAAGTTTACTCTTCAGCGTTTAGTCTGGTGAGTGAGGTAGCCGAAGCCCAATGTATTAAAAGGTGGCAACGCCTCTGCAACCCTACGGGTGTTGCAAATGTCAATGGGCGGCGGTTATCATATAACATAAAAAAACCTTTGAATACTTTTTTTTTACGCCGCGCCGTTCTTCAGTGATACTTTCCCGAACTCTTTTTAATGGCCCTACGATTAAAGAAAGAGTTCGTTCCCAGTTCCTAGTAGGAGTCTCGGCTGGAGCGGGAATCTCCTCCTAAGATAGTACTCTGTGACGCAGAAGACTGGCGTGAAGGATAAGGAATATACTTTCACCTATCAGCTAGACGGGTGGCGGTAAACTCTAAGAGTGAGCTATACTAGGTTAAATCGAATACCGTTTATGTGTGTTCCTGTTCTTAAAAAGGAACAGTGACAAATACCTTTTACAAAATAACAGCCTATTGTTTTATACTATTTTGTGACAATTTGTACAGTGTCTACTCTATGGTAATATCCGTACTTCTCTTTCACAAACAAAGCTAGAAGACCGATGCAAGAAAGAGAAAGAGCGAACGATAATTATGTGTCGTATTGTTACTTTACCAAGGTTAACGATAGCTTACCGAGCGATTGTACCGTGCCCACTGAAATAATCTCTAAACTTATATTTCTTACGTTTGGCGTATCGAAAAAAAAAAACACCTCGTTTTTTATCGGTACGCAATAACCTCCGCAATTCTTGAAATTAAATGACTTTCACGCTTATTTTTATAGTCGAATCTATTTAGATAGTCGAATAGAATAAAATTAAATGTTTTCTTAAAAAAAATTGTTTAATTTTCATTTAAAGAACATTTTTTTTATGCGAGAGGGTGGCAACCGATCAGGCTGTGTACCTGGTTTTAAGTGATAACCGCGGCACATTGATATTTGTAGCACCCGTAAGGTTGCGTGCACCTTTGCGTGAACCTTTTGGTAAAGTGGCCCCGACTACCTCACTCACCAGACGAAACGCAGAAGTAATAAAACGACTAACTGGGCAATAAGGCTTCCACTTCACGCGGGTCTTCTGTGAGGTCGGGATACTTACCCGGACGGACGTGCCCATTCGTGCAACAGCGAAAACTGTTATGCCTATATCGCTATAATGACTGTTTTTAACATTTTTTCATATTAAAAGTTTTTTTGTTATTATATTGGACACGCACGGGTGCAATGTATATTATACATATAAACCTTCCTCTTGAATCACTTATCTATTAAAGAAAACCGCATCAAGATCCGTTGCGTAGTTATAAAGATCTAAGCGTACATATGGACAGACATTGTTTTATACTGTTTAGTGATACCTTTATAGTGTCTAGATGATGGAGGAATATACGTCTTTATGTCTCTACACACGGAACACTTTCCAGATCGGGCAGGAGCCGAGACTGTTCCAGGCGGAGACGGAGGCGCTGTTCATGTTCGACAGCTCGTTGGCCGTCAAGATATCGCTGACCTTCCGAATGTTCGCGAACGTGGTGCAGGGCAGCGGGCGCGGCCACCACTACCACTACGTGGAGGCCGCCCAGCGGGGCAGGATAGGCGGCTGCTTCGCCCTGACCGAGGTGGCGCACGGCTCCAACGCCAAGGGCATGAGGACCACCGCCACTTACTGCCCGGAGAGCAGGCGGTTCGTGCTGCACACACCAGACTTCGAGGCCGCCAAGTTCTGGGTTGGATCTCTAGGTACTTGGAGAAGAGTCATTGACGGCCGGTGCCGATATTCTAGCAACAGATTTGGCTGGATCTTTAAGTACTTGGAGAAGAGTCATTAACGGCCGATTCCGATATTCTAGCAACAGATAGATTTGGCTACTAGCGATTGACTGGTAGAGAATGCCTTTGGGCATTAAGTTCGACCTTTGTTACCTTTGTTTCCATCTTAAGGTTAGCGCAATAAAGCATAAATAAATTAAAAAATAGGTATTTCACATTAATAATTACGTAAAAAATTCTATCTCCAGATAGAATATTGGAAACGGCCGTAAATGGTTAATACCATTATATCAATGAAGGCGATATTAAAATAGTCTATCGTTTAACATTTCTTAATGGTACAATATTTTTTTATGTTAATATACGGATTTGGGCGGCAAAATCTATTGACGTCAATGAAAAGTCTTCACGTAAAGCGTATTTAAATAGCTAGTGTTCTCACAGCTGATTATTTCATTAATCATTATATAAATACATACCTACAAGGCAACGCCTACAATTTTACCAATTGTTTGCGCTCCCGCGTTAAGAATGAATATTCTAAATAGTTGACTAGATTAGTAAAAATATTAAAACGTGGTTTAAACACTAAGTTAACGGTGGTAGGGCCCCGCAGCAGCCTCGGCTGTTGCACGAATGGACAGGCCCGTCCGGGTAAGTACCACGAGCTCACCGAAGACGAGCGTAAAGTGGAAGTATGACAAATACTTTCTCGTTTCGAGATAGCCGGAGCCCAATTTTCAAAAGGTTGTCGAAGCATCTGTAACCCTCGGGTGTGGCGGATGTCCATGGGCGGCGGTATTCACTTAACATCAGGTGACCCGTCTGCTCGTTTGGCAACTTTTAGCATAAAAATAAAATATTATAGTTTACCCGTTTTACTCAAATACGTAAAAACAAAAAAAAATGTCAAGTTAATAACATATCCTAATCAAAAGCTAAAAAGTAGCCAAGTATTTCATTTAACCAAATAAGATATTTTCGTTATTAAAATATTCTAAATTTAATATTAAACTAGCTTCTAACCGCGGCTTCGCTCGCGCGGCCAAAGGAAATTAGTAATGAGTTTTTTTTTACACCTCGCAGATGGCTGAATTTTTTCCTATTTAGTTGACTTATCATTACCTATTTTTGGACATTTCACTCAATATCTTTATAAATCAACCTATGTGTTACTCTGTAAATTCAATATTATTGTAAAGTTTCATTAAAATCTGTTCACTGGTTTTCGCGTGAAACTGTAACAAATTGTTTGTAATATTAGTAAGAAGTAAGATCATCTACCTCTATTACTTCCATAAATAAATTGTAATGGCACCTCGACCCACTGACGTACGCGCAAAAGAAACATACATACATACTTACTAACTAACATATACTGAGCAATATTACCTCTTTCGGCTGTTGGGTAAAACAAAACTGTTAGCAATATAAAGTAAAATTTTATTCCCTAAAAAACTAAATATTCAAATTGTACACACATAATTAACATAACGCTATTGTTAAAAAACTAACAAACTTAACCCGGTGAATTTCTGTTATACTCATTATCATATTGGTTATTCATCGTTGATTAAATTCAAAACCGTCGTGAATTGGAAGTTTTACATACACCTCACCGGCGAAAGCTATCTTCACACATCTTGTATAAATCAATCTATGTAAGGTGACCGTCTGAACCATTTAGCAAAGTGTCATTAAGTCATAGATTATTTAGTTCTAAAAATAGACGTGTATACGTAATTTTGTTCCCAATCCAAAACTGGATCCACTTTGTCGCTAGTTCAATATAAATATTAAATCATATTTAACAGGGTAAATTCATAACTAAAAATTATTTTCTGCGATCATTATTAAAGACTGAATCGGTGTTGCAATATTTATTGCGACTTGGTGGCGCAGTTGCAAAGCTATTGGCTTCGGCTGGGGGTCGTGGGTTGGTTTCTCACACGCTACAAGAAATACCACAGATAATTGTTCCGTATGTTTATTCCTAGTAGAACACTTCAATATTATATTAACAATATGATTCTGCCGAGCTACCGACCCCCTTGCCCTTAGGTAGAAGAAAGTATATTAAGAAATTACATACACTAATTAAATGACCCTTTGTAATCCACTATGGAGTTTATTAGCAATATTCGGATTTAATTCTTGTCTCTATTTATTTATTTTATTTATATATATATTATACTAGCTGACCCGGCAAACGTTTTTTGCCATATAATTTAAAAAATGTTCGGGGTGGGCCACCCTTAACATTTAGGGGGATGAAAAATAGATGGTGTCCGATTCTCCACCCTGGCCGATATGCACACAAAATTTCACGAAAATCGGTCGAGCCGTTTCGGAGTTCAATTACAAACACCGTGACACGAGAATTTTATATATTAGATATTTATTTATGTTTATATATGTTTATAATATTTTAGTTTATTTTGTTTTATTTCAGTCTATTTTGGTATTAAGGTTATTGAGCACACCATCTCCGACTATTCATTACTTTATTTTTCTTCGTCCTAAGGTTGTCTGGAAGACAATCGCTTTTCACCCATAATACAGAATTATACCTAGCTTTTATGACTTATTTTATACTAACTGTATTAAATTCTTTGTGGTGTACAATAAAGTATATATAATAATACCGTCTGATAATTAAAATAACAATATTTTTCTATTTCTTTATTATCTTTTTTCTATTTTTCCCTCGATAAGGCAAATGCGCGACTCACGCGATAGTTTACGCGATGCTGATATCCAAGGGCAAGAATCACGGGCTGCACACATTTGTCGTGCCCATCAGGGACCCCAAGACCCTGAAGCCATATCCAGGGGTGACGGTTGGCGACATAGGTGAGAAGATAGGCCTCAACGGTGTCGACAACGGGTGAGTAAACCTGGATGTGAAAAATGGCGGAAAAGTTTTTCGCCGCCGTGGTAATTGAACCCGTCTTCCGAATTCAACGTCTTACAGCGTCGAAAGACTACTAAACAGAGATTAACACTTAATTTTTTTTGTTTAAAATAGCATTCAGAAATGTTTATTATTTTTATGAATTAAGATTTTGATTTCCTATTTGTATTTATACATTATCCGAAGAGCCTTTAGAAAATATTGCTGTTATGGCTAATTAATGTTGTGCTGTGATGTTCTATCGTTTTGTAAATTTCAACCTGTTATTGTTCGTCATTTAGTCGTTAAACTAAAATGGTCTCCCCTTCGATCCATCTCAAATTAAGTTGCTGTCGGTGCACCGTTGTCGATATATGAATTATTTATTTTTCATGTTTGCACGAAATGAATTGTTTATTTTTCAGATTTGTTATGTTCGATAACTACCAACTGCCCAAGGACGCGGCGTTGGACCGCCTTGGTGGGGTTGATGAGAATGGCGACTACAAATCTCCTTTCCGGGACCCGAATAAGCGTTTTGGCGCCTCCCTCGGTATTCTCTCAGGTGAATTGCAGTTTAGGAATCGTGTTTTTGAAGATAAAGGTGAGACAGATAGAGACGGAAAGAGAGAGAGAGAGAGAGAGAGAGAAACAGGGAGAAATCACTAATACGAAAAGAGTATGTGTTCGGGTTGTTTATAAAAATTTGAGTGCATTAGTTTCAATATCTCACTCGAGTGTAGTAAATATTTGACAATCTAATTTATTTATTCATATTAAATTAGTTATTTTTCTTCTTGTTCTTAACGATAATAGATAAACTAATTGAACTCCAAACAGATAATATACCTTAAATCGCTCCGTGGTATTTGCTTATACGGGTGACGTGGGTTCGATTCCCGCACGGGACATGTATTACTGTGACCACAGATAATTGTTCCGGATCTGGATGTTTGTCTCCCAAGGAAGATTGACGTCAGGCAGGCGGCCGATCGGATAAAACGTAGCCTACATACGCTTATAACCCGACTCTAATGTTGTGCCGAGCCAACCTAGCTGGGCAGGAGGATGTTGACCCTGTCTGATATCCCAGGCGGGCGCGTCCACATCACCTCCATCTCCACCAACTACCTGCAGAAGGGCGTGGTGGTGGCCATCCGCTACTCGGCGGTGCGGCGCCAGTTTGCAGCGCGCCCTGGCGGCCAGGAGTCGCCCGTGCTGGAGTACCAGCAGCAGGTATCTGCGGTGGGGCCACGCGGCACAGCCCCGTAGTCCCGGGCTCTCAGAATAGGGCCAAGGTGTCCCCTGCCTGTCGTAAAAGGCGACTAACAGGGGACACGGATGGGCAGCAGCACGAAGTGGTCCTGTGCCGCTGCAAGATGGCGAGGGAATCGGAGATGGTTTATCCTTCTCCGAGGCGTGCGCAGGCGTAGTGCCGAGGGACACCGGTGCGTTCCATGGGAGATCCCGGAGTCCCTCCAAATGTACGGAAGGCGGCCACCCAGGGGGTATTAGTGGGTAAGAACCCCACGTAACCCGTCATGTAAGGTGACAGGGTATGGTATGACATGTAAGGTATTTCGAAGATTTCCTCCCCGACACTAAAAGCCCCACGGCCTTGGAGAAGACCGGCGCGAAGTGGGAGTGGTGAGGTAGCCGGGGCCCGCTTTATTAAAAGGTGCCAACGCATCTGCAAATCTACGGACTTTGCTAATGCCAATGGGCGGCGGTTTCACTTAACGTCAGGTGAACTGTCAGTTCAATTGACACCTTTACACATTAAAAACAACGGCGAACCATAGATGGCATGGATAGACCAATAAAATCAGACGTACAGATATCGTGAGACATGCCTGTGGTGGTATTTATGCTGCAGCGTTTCGTCTAAGCGACTTAAGGTAATAAACTTGCTACAATTGTAGGAGTGCTTGATGGGGTTGTCTCTTACTATCAAGTTAAACGAGCCGCTTGCTTATTTCGATCTCTTTGAAACAACCTCAATAATAGCTGTTGGAGACCCGCGCCTGTGCTTTGAAAGCTTCTAAGAAAGACTGCCACGGTTACCTCACTCATCAGTGGAAAAACTGGTGTCTTCCCAGCTTGTGTCCCTATATGCAATGAAAAAAAAAACTGCTGTTTGTTTCTATTACTCAAAAAACGTTTAATTCGTTGTATACACAGATCGATTTTTATTGAAAATAGGTTTTGTTTGCCTACTGCTAACATTAAAATTGGCAATATGCTAAAAATAATATTTCTTTATATTCCAGCAAATCCGCGTGCTTCCGTATCTTGCTACGACATTCGCAATGAGAATATTCTGCAACTGGTTCGGAGCCACCCACGTGACGATGGCAATAGAAAACATGATGGGTACGTTTTACTTTCTATTATGATCGGAGGTCGAGAAATATGATTTAACATATCAGAAACGAGTAATGACTTGGACCAAATGTTATGTTTAAATCAGGTTTTGATTTTAAAGTTAAATATACATAGGAAAAGCCCAGCAGTGGGTTAAATCGCATGCTTCCAGGAAAGACACGTATTCGTAACGAAGATAGTACCAAAAGACGCGGGTTAGAATCCCGCAGCGCCGAAAGTTTTTCTTCAGTTCGTTTCATTCATCTGCAGAAATTTACAATTTAAAATTGTTTGTCTTTGGTTCACTACAAGTCAGTATTCTTTTCGTTGCCATCTGTACTTCGACGGATCGAGATAATTGACGCGCACGTTCTTACTCGGGAGGCGTAGCCTGTGGCTACTTGTGTAACTGACAAAAGAAGCACATCGCCGGGTTCTAAACTCAAGTGCCCCAGTCAGATAATAGCTACCGATCGAGCCGAGGTCCGGCCCTCTCGGGCACCCTCGAATCGGAATGCTAAACGCGTGCTGAGTGACAGCCCAAGCCGAGGTCCCCTCTCGGGGACCCTTGAGCCTGATCACTCCATGGAGCGTCCGCCAAAGCGCCCTAAGAGCTTGGCGGCCTCCCAAACCCGTAACAATAATAGCGTGACGGCCCGAGCCGAGGCTCCCCCGGGAGCCCTCGAGCTTAGTCACCATAACGCGTAATAATAGTACGCCGAGGTTCAGGCTAGGCGCCTCGTGCGCCAGGCCACCTCAAGTCCGTCGGATCTGTAAAGGCCCCTAAGGCCAACAGTGGCTCATCCAGCCCAAAAAAAAAAAAAAGTCAAGTGCCGTCACCAGGCGCCGACAAGGAGGCGGCGGCGGCGCGCGGCGTGGAGATGCACGCGCTCTCGTGCGCGGCCAAGCCCGTGTGCGGGTGGGCGGCGCGCGACGGGCTGCAGCACTGCCGCGAGGCGTGCGGCGGCCACGGCTACCTCAGGGGTGAGGACGACTCTCGCTTTCACTTTATGGGGGGCCTGGGGCACTTGCACTTTATGAGGGGGCTTGGGAACTTTGGCTTTATGTGGGGTCTTAGGATCTTTGACTTTATGAGGGGGCCTTGGGAACGTTGCTTTATGGGAGGGTCTTGGGATCTTTGGCTTTATGAGGGATCTTGGGAACTTTCACTGTATTGGGGGGTCTTGAGAACTTTGACTTTATGATCCCCGTCTTAGGGATTTTGATTTCATGAGGCGTAAACACTAACTTTATGAGGGTCATGAAAAGTTTGACTTTATGAGGGGCATAAAGGTTGCTGAATGAAATTGCGACCTTAGCGTGTAATCTTACCCTAAACATGCCATCTCTTTCATGTAACAATGGAAACTATCATTAAATCCCGCTATATAAAAGTTTACTAGACTGTTAATATGTATACTACATTTATTGGTTAAATCGAAAAATAAAATGCTTATGATATTTTTTTATCATAGATATATATATTACAAGCGTTGAAATCTGGTAACAGAAGCTACTAGATTTCAACGTTACTTTCAATACAACATATATCAGAAAAGCGAAAACTAAAATAAGTTTACCAAGAACATTATAAGAGACAATTAGTTTATTACAACGCTAGCAAGTTCTCTTCACTGGATTTGTGACAACATCTGACGCCCCCTAGCGGCCGCTATCGGCGAACTGAGGAACGACAACGACGCCAACTGCACGTACGAGGGAGAGAACAGCCTTCTGCTGCAGCAGGCCAGCAACTGGCTGCTGACGGTGTGGGCCCGACGGGACAGCCTCACACCCGAGGATTCGCCGCTCGGATCGCTGCGCTTCCTGCAGCGGGTGGACAGCCTCCTGGCCGAGACCTGCCCGCTGCAGACGGTCGAAGACTTCATGGAGCCCGCGAGTGAGTCAACTTCAACTTATATGTTTTTTTTAAGGAGAATAGAGGCAAACAGACAGAGTTAATTTCGCATTTATAATATTAGTATGGATTTGATGTAAATCTGTCTTTCCGTCTGAATGTTACGCCTTCAGCCTATTCTAAGCAGACGTAGTTGCGGGCAGCAGCTGGTAGTATATATTTTATTTTGCAGCATAACCACGCTTGTGACCACAATAGAAACGGCTAATCCAATAACGAATCCATCCGATGGCAGATCTAGTTCACATCTACAAATGGCTGACCGCGTACACGCTGAAAACCACCTACGAGAAGGTGGCAAAGCTGAAGAGTGAGGGCAGGGACGACTTGCAGGCGAAGAACGAATCGCAGTCCTACAATGCTGTCACGCTGTCTGTGGTCTACGGGGAGGTGGGTTGCCTTATAGGTGCTGGACAGATGACTCACACGTCACTATTGTGACCAGTCGTTTGACTCTTGTATGACCCTCGCATGATATGTTCCAATTGAGATAGGTCAGCGGTCCACCTGGCGATAATTGATGACATGACTGCCCCACCCACGGACGTTTGCAGATGCGTTGCATATTTGTTGATGAAGTGGCCCCGGCTACTTAACTCACCTTACGAAACGCAAAAATGTAACACTCCTGTTGTCGTGGCACCACAAACGAGCCTGCCCATTCCTGCCACAGCGAAGGCTAACTAACTTGTATTGGTCCTTGACTAGATCCATTGTTTCATTACGCAGGACCACATCATAAGTAGTGAATTCGCGGATACACTATCGTTCTTATTCGTAATAAGTTATCTGAGGTTTATAATCGCTAAAACAGATTGTCAAAAAATCTTGTTCATAATCGTTCTACAACGCTAAAACGTTCTACAACTCTCCGATGAAATCTTTGATATAAGCTAGGACCTTTTTTTTTTTTTATATTAAATTATAAAAAATTAATATAATAATAAATTTATTACTTTATTATAAAAAAAAAGCTAGGACCTGATATAAACATTCGATAAACGTATATTAGTGAAAAACATGGCCGATTTTGGTCAGCTGATTACTGACGTTTTTATGACTTCTTTTAAATCATTCCACGCCGCCACCTTTGCATTGGAGATCGTGTCGGTGTTTTTTTTTTTCATTGATTTTAGATAACACGGACCTGCTCCTTAACCACATCAATCTTTCAAGATAATCGTCGAAAGCAAAAACAGTAAATTTTAGTAGGTAATGCATGCATAAAAATACAGTGCGAAGTTGTAGACTTGCGAATATTGTAACAGAAATTTTGTCTTCCTCTAGCCAATTTGTACTAACTACTTTGCTTTTTTTAGCATTCATGTTCATTTTAACATTACAATGATTTATTTATTTTGTTAAGGCCAAAGACTACTAATAAATAACAATGAATTTCAGATGAATTTATTATGAATCTCAGTCTTATGAATAAGACAGTTATGTCTGGCTGTGAATGTTCGTAATATACGTAAATATACGTTCATTAGATTGTGCTGCAGTTTTTTTTATTTATGATTACATTTGTCCCTTTAATGACTTGATCTCATGTTTAATGTAGCTTACCGCTAATTAGCTTCCAAAGGGCATGAAAAATGACGGAATCGATGCCTACTTGGTAAACACTGCTTACTAAATGCCAAGTAGGAATCTGTGCCCAGATTTTAAACGATCATACGATATACGACTGGTTTGCAGTAAAATAACAAATAGAAGCATACTTGAGTTAGCTAAAAGCCATACTTGAGACTACTACGAGATTTCGTCGATTTGTACAACAAATTCAGCCAAAATGTCTCAAAAAGTTTTGATCTTTGCAGAACTTCATCTTGAACCACTTCCACGATACCGCGCTGGAGTTCCACGACGAGGAATGCCGGAAGGTTCTGTTGAAGCTTGTCGCTTTGTACGGCGCCTTCTTGTTGGAGAAACATCTGGCGACGCTGTACATTGTGAGGACTTCTTGCATTATTTCCGTCGTGTTTTTATTTTACCTCTGAACTATTGGCCCAATTTTTTATGAGAAGTAAATTTACGCTGGATTTTCTATGCAAGTTAATCAATAGAAACTGTTTCCTGCAGTAAGTCGTTAGGTACATTTTGTCACGTGTTTGCTTAGTATAAGAATATTCCTAACCCGTGTTCATATCGTTTAACTAATGTCGACCAGTCTTCCGCGAAACACCTCATAAAATCTTTCCTCACATTTATTTTGCATCGTAATCAATATCGTATGACCTTCTAACGATTAAACTGAAAGTTAGGACGAACCTTATTTTTTGGTTCTAGTCTGCATTGAAGATAAAAATCAAATGGGCTTTTCTAGGCGTCCTACACTGAAGAAGCATGTTCGAACCTTGCAGCGCTGAATTTCTGTCCATATATACGCAAAAAATCACATTTTAACTTACTCTTTTTTTAATTGCGAAGTTGTCCACGCGATGTAAAGCGATTACCGTCGCCCATACTGTAACACCACGTGATGACGATGTAACATGAATTGTAGATGCGTTGACAACCTTTTAAAAAAAGGGCCTCGGCTACTTTACTCATCAGAAGAAACCGTACTTACGGTTTCGTCTGATGAGTAAAGTAGCCGAGTCCACTTCACGCTGCTCTTCTATGAGACCGTGATACTTCTTAGGATAAGCCTGCCCATTCGAGTATCAGTAACTGCTGCGTGCACTCGTCGGCCTCAGTGAATCTAGCTATCCATATTTCTGTGTGATTTATGCTCGTGAAACATCTCTACTCTTCAGCATGTAATGTTGGAGCGGTCTTTTCCACTAAAGCTCCCTCGGAAAGTGTAACTGTTCAAGAGGTGGGAGCTTCAGTTTGGGGGCCTTTTCCATTTTTTTTTAATATTTAGGACACGTTTTTAAAACCTCTTATCGTAATCATCGAAGGTCTAATCCTTCGAGGGATCGAGTGAGTGAGGTCAGGACGGTTATCTGGGTGCCGCAGACTGCTGTGAGATACAAGCCTTGTCCATTGAAGATCCTTCGGGATGTGTAACTGTTCGAGCGGCGAGGGCCTAGTTAGGGGCCTCGTCCAAAGGTTCTTCGGAAGGTCTTATCGTCCGAGAGATTGGAGTCGAGGTCGTGCACACGACGTGCAGGGCACTACCCGAGTGGGCCGCATTGATCTTCCGGAGGTGTAATCGTTCAAGGGTTGTTCGCTCAGGGCGGCTACCTTAATGGGACGCTCCGATCCTCCGGAAGTGTAATCTTTCGAGGGTTGTCCGTTAAGGGCGGCTATCTGGACGAGCTGCATGGATCTTCTGAAAGTATAACCGTTCGAGGGTATCCGCTCATGTCGATTACCCGGGTGGGCGTATTGATCCTCCGAAAGTATTGCCGTTCGAGAGTCGTCCGCTCAGAGCAGCTACCTGTGCGGGCCGCATCGATCCTCCGGCAGTGTGACCGTTCGCAAGTCGGCCACCTGTGCGGGTCGCATGGATCGTCTGCGGTCGTGCGGGTCGCATGGATCGTCTGAAAGTGTGACCGTCTCAGGGGGCCACCTGTGCGGGCCGCATGGATCCTGAAAGTGTGACCGTGCAGGGCGGCCACCTGTGCGGGTCGCATGGATCGTCTGAAAGTGTCGGACCGTTCGCAGGTCGGCCACCTGTGCGGGTCGCATGGATCGTCTGAAAGTGTGACCGTCCGCAGGGCGGCCACCTGTGCGGGTCGCATGGATCGTCTGAAAGTGTGACCGTCCGCAGGGCGGCCACCTGTGCGGGTCGCATGGATCGTCTGAAAGTGTGACCGTCCGCAGGGCGGCCACCTGTGCGGGTCGCATGGATCGTCTGAAAGTGTGACCGTCCGCAGGGCCTGTGTGCGGGTCGCATGGATCGTCTGAAAGTGTGACCGTCCGCAGGGCGGCCACCTGTGCGGGTCGCATGGATCGTCTGAAAGTGTGACCGTCCGCAGGGCGGCCACCTGTGCGGGCCGCAGGGGCGGCTGGTGCGCGAGGCGGCGGTGGCGCTGAGCGGCGCGCTGGCGCCTGAGGCGGTGGCGCTGGCGGACGCGCTGGCGCCGCCCGACGCCTGCCTGCGCTCCGTGCTCGGCGCGGCCGACGGCCAGGTGCGCTCCGCCTTAGCAGTTCGCGTTAGGAGGGGCTTTACTTCCTATGGAACGAGGAGCCCTTTTTTATGTGAAACGTTGCCAAGCGAGCAGACGGTTCATGCGATGTTAAGTGAATACCGCCGCCCATGGACATCCGCTACACCCGACGGTTTGCAGACGCGTTGTCAACCTTTTCAAAAATTGGGTCATCTAATACCCATCCCATGTTAGCCCTTACGCACTTTCCGTACCAGCACGTGGCAGTTGAAGATCAAACGTCATGTCATATATGCCGCTTGTTACTACAATTTCCTTACTACATGGCGATCGAAGACGAATTACCATGCCATATATGATCCCTTTCGCACTTTCCTTACGAGCACAAATGGCGGTAGAATATCAAATAGAATGCCATGTATAGCCCCTTTCGCACATTCCTTATGGCAGCACATGGCGGTTTGAGTTATACATGACAAATGTCTAGTATGACAAATATCACGCCTTATTTGAACCCTTAGGCACTTTCCTTACGAGACGTGGCGTTTACGAGACGAAACTCAAATGCCATTCCGTAATTTTAATTCGAATTTTTATAACTCGTTTACGAATGAAATACTCTCCGTTCGCTCTTCAGGTGTACAAGCACATCCAGAACAGCGTGATGACGTATCCGGGCGCCATGACGCGGCCGAAATGGTGGCGAGACGTAGTCTATTGGCAGAACTACGCCCAATCCAAACTCTGAGGAGTAACGACGGCTCCATACCTTCATGTTACGCTACAGGAGTTGTGTTGTGTTGTATGGGAGTTATTAAGACGTGTATTGTGTATTCATGACAAAATGTTGTTTGAATGATGGATCTTTGGCGGAAATTTAATCACTATATAGAAAAAACAAAGTCGTCTCGCTCTCTGTCTGTCCCTGTATATGATTAGATCTTTAAAAGTATGCAACGGATTTTGATGCGGTTTTCTTTAATAGATAAAGTGATTCAAGAGTTTTTAATGCGATGTCGAAAACAAACATTCAGCATTGCACCCGTCCAAAACGGGGCGGATCACTAGTATTTACTAAAGATGGAAAAAATCCGGTAACATAACCTTAATGGCCGTTGTAAGTTGTTGATTATCTTTTCTTATAAAGTCGAGGATTATTGAAATATGATGTTGTTCGATGACGAATGAAAGTATGACAATTGCAAAGTTGTTAGTGATATTTTTGTTCGCACAAAAAATGTATTTTAACATGAACATCCTTTTAAATGTTAACGCAGCGATAAAAATCATGGGTTCGCCAGTTGGAATCGCGATGATGTTTCAGTAGTATAAAGTCGGAAATAAAATGCAATATTAACGATATACAGAGAGCGATGAGACTATACACAAATATCACTTCTGTTGTCTTCGTGTCAACTATTTTGTTAAATTACATATAATATGTAAACGGTATTCTTTACCATCTTAAACCTGATGTAAATAAAAATAGTTATTCTCTTTTAAATATACTCACTGCATTATCGGGTTTGGTGTGAGCTTGCAAGAAAGAATAGATAGAAATGCTAGTGCAATTACATAATAATATACACCGAATATCGTCGTTACCAAAACAATTTATCAGTAGGACTCTAATTAAGTAGTTAATAAATTCGTGTTTAAACATACATCATCTGGGTTATATCACCCTGATGTTATGGGAAATGACCAAGATATTAATTATTAATTACTTTTGGTAAAACGGGAACCTATTACTAAGTATCCGGTGTCGGTCTGTCTGTCTGTTTTTCCGGCTGTCACCAGGCATGTATCTCATGAATCATAATTGTTAGGCGGTTAAATTCTGACAAAAAAGGACAAAAAGCTTATCGTCGCTGCGACGATTTGAACTCGCGTTACGATACGCTCCTGACGATTTAGCCACTGAGCTAAGCGGCTTATCTCCTTACTGTAGAAAATATATCTACGTAACTACTTGTGATAAATATCAATAATGTTTGTGATATATATATATAGATAAATATTTCTGAATTATACGCAACTTATATTATGATTTTAAATGTTTTTTTCTATATTATGATGTTTTATAATTTATTTTCGAGGTGGTACTTATGATCGTTTACTATTAATGCTTTATAAAATGTTACGGGAAATATATTTTTAATGGGATATATGTTATACAAAAACGTTTGTTGACAAATAAAACAATTTTCGTTTGTTACAATAGTATTTTATTTACAATAAAACTTCACCCTCTTCGGAATAACCTGCCGGGGTGGTTTACGGAAATTGTGATTAAAATAAAGCTCGTTTCGTGTCGGCCTAATCGAGTCTGCATATACAATGAGTGTTGTCAATCAGTCCGTCCGTACAAATGTCGGAGTGAACTTTCGGTTTGCAAAGCCGCGAAGCCTCCACACGATGTTGACAGCCCTGATTATCTGTGCCCTACTCACGGGGTAAGTTAATTTTGATTAAGGGACTCGGCTAATTCCGATTGTCTATCCCATTGTTTTAATGTACATAAATGTTTTTGGATTTCTCACGTATTGGTTTAAAGGGGTGGCGTTAATTAAATTTATAGCGACCGTATCGGGCCGGTCACCGATGACAGGCTCATCGCCCGTCACATTAGTGAATTGATTATCTTTGTGAAATGTTCATAGCATTATCTAGCTCTAAGATAAAATTGTCTATTCTATTTTATTATTAATATACTTCGACATTAATTATTTAACCGTACTTTATTATATTTCAAAAATAAACAATTTTTTTCACAGTAGAAAACTCAACAGTAATAACTATAATTACACTACTAACAATTAATATCCATAATATTTAACTCGGTTGAAACTAATTCTAGTAGTATTTTAGCCCCCAACTATTATTTCGCTTTTTTATAAAACCAAAAGTAAATTTTTGACTTATAAACCTGCGCTTTGTTAAAATATTGTGTATGGTGTAAACTGTGGTAATACTGCGCAGCAATCTTACCTAATGCACGAATGGGCAGACTCGCGCGGAGAATTATGACGACCTCCAGAAGATCGGCGTGAAGTTGAAGTGTTATTTTTCTGCGTTTCGTCTGGTGAGTGAGGTAACCGGGATTCGCTTAATTAAAAGAGCAACGCAGCTCCAACTTTAAAGATGTTGCAGATGCCCATAGGCTGTGTTTATCGCTCAACATCAGGTTAACCACCATCTCACTTGCCACCTTCTCACATTAAAAAAAGAAGAAAATATAACACGTCTTATGACATAAAGAAGACTGAGATGATTTAGGATTTTACTTAAAGCAACTGCACACTAAACGGACGATGCAATAGACAAATAAGGTTAAATATTACAGGACTAACGCTGACATCGATAATGTGTTGAGGGGCGTGAGGAGACAAAAATACTTGGAATATGTCCTAGTAGATTTGGTAAACGGCATAGAGCGCTACAAAGATATCACGTGTGTAGCCGTTATTTGCGACTCCGTATACTTGAACGTGTTCGAGGGAGAATTCTTTAAGAAAACGTTTACCGTCCCATTTGTCATAGTAAGTGTTGTACGTACAACGTTGTTACGTTGTAGTTTAGTATTGCTTATAAAAAGAAAAGATAAATAAAAATTGGATTAAATGTATTGAGACGGAGGAAACTATATTTTTCTAAGAACATCAATAACCCCTGTTTATGACATACATAAATAATATTATAGTTTCATAATCAAGGATATAAAATTCTCCATTTCCAGATCGTTGTAGCTGAGAATGAAGACCTCTTATCGCCGAACTTTTACACTTTAGAAACGTTGCGACAAGCGAAGAAAGACGGATGTAGCGCTTATATAATAATTCTTGCGAATGGAATACAAGCTTCCAGATTACTAATATTTGGCGATCGGTATTAAAACAAAATTATGACTTATTAAAAATACATTTATCAACAAATATATAATATGAAGATGTTAAAATAAATGAAATTGAACAGAAACTCTCGCCCCAACCAACATAATTACACGCCATTTTCATTAATACTTAATACAAAATAATACTTAATACTTATACAATTTTTCCAGGTACAGACTTTTGAACAGCAGGGCGAGGTATGTAATGCTGCACGACGTCAGGTTGTTCAAAAGCAAATTGCATTATCTGTGGAAGCGCATAGTGAACGTCGCCTTTCTGAGGCATAACGAGAAAGACCGCGAAAATGTAACTTGGTTTGACATCTCGACTGTTCCCTTTCCCAACCCAATCGGGGATGTGCTGATAACGCGTAGGATCGATGTGTGGCGGAAAGGGAAATTCTATTACAACAGGGAAGTATTTGCGGATAAAACAAAAAGTCTGAATGGAAAAACACTGAATGTCGTGTACTTGGATCATGTTCCGTCGGTGGTGGTGACTAACTCGAACGACTCGACAAAAGTCGGAGGCGTCGAAATAGAGGTGTGTATTGTAAAAAATATTCACACATAGTTGAACCCGACCACGCAGGGCTGTGTCATATTTTTCCCCTTAACTTTAGAATACAAAGTATGTAAAACACTATTGCTAAATAGCTATGTTGAACAAAAAATAAAGTCAATCCATCGGCTAGTTTTTGAATTTTCTGGACACAAACATGCGAAAGATAAATCTTTATTTATTATTATTGACACGATTATTAATTTAAATTTATTGCAAATTATTTTTTGGTTTTTAGCTTTTTGTTTAATTTTTTAAACGCGTACTTGGCAATAAGACACGTATTTCTTACGGATTTGGTTAAAGGCACAAACTATTTAAATTATTGCATTGTCATCTGTCTTGAGTGTGCAGTTTCAATTTAATTCATTGGTAAAAATGAGGAGTCCGTAGCGTAGTTGTCAAGGTATTGGCTTCGGCGTGGGGGGTCGTGGGTTCGATTCCCACACGAGACAACTATTTGTGTGACCCACAGATAATTGTTTCGCATCTGGGTGTTTTCCGCGTGAAATTGATGTTTGTAAAACGTCCTTACTAATGAAATACTAATAAGATACTGTTATCCTAAAGTAATGGCAATGTTAAAAAAAATCATGTTCGAACATTCCGTTACATACATACATAAAAACATACCAAGTTAATAATAAAACGTGTTAAATAAAAACTAAAAAATTACAGATCCTGAACACAATAGCCTCAAAAATGAATTTCAAACCAAAGCTGTACGAGCCAATTAATGCGAAATTTGCTAAGTGGGGGGAGAAGCAACCAAATGGCTCTTTTTCTGGCCTTCTAGGCGAAATGGTTTCAGGGAAAGCTGATATTGCGGTCTGGCAATTTACAGTACACTCCTTACTATCAGCAGTTGACTGACTTGAGCATTCCCTATACGTCCCAGTGCTGGACTTTCTTGACACCTGAAGCGATGACGGACAACTCTTGGAAGACGCTGATTTTGCCCTTTAAGTTGGTATTAATGTAAAATAATTGCGACAAATACACAATATCTGCATTCGCTTATTTTGATTCAACAAAATACGTTAACGTATTGATTAGTAGATACTAAGAAAATTCAATTGCATTTATTTATGTTGCAGACTGTACATGTGGGTGACCGTACTTTTGGTATTGTTAGTAACGGGGTCAATTTTCTATGGTTTAGCAAAGTACTATTCGTATTTGATGGATTACAGAATTGAAATAGCTAATGCCAATTCCAAACAAGGAGACCAGAAGAAAAATAACTGGGGTAAGTTTATAAGTGATACAGAAATAAAAATTCATTCAGCCAAAGTGACTGGCATAAATTTTCCGCTTAATTCACTTACCTTACCCTTCTTATCCTCGCATATTTGTTCATAGTTTGGAACATTCAACCGTCCTAACATCCAAATATATTAAACTAGATTAAGTCGTTCACGTAGAATAGAACATTAGTCTGTTTCTGTAAAATATCAAGTAAAATGATTTTTAACTGATTTGAAACTGGTTAGTTACATAGAATGTAACACCGCTCTGACCGTTCAACTTCCTATCCTTTATGTCGAAGAAGGCCACAATCCTCGCATTCTGTAATGCAAATCGAAACTTGAAAGACAGAAAAGAACCTTTATTCTTAACGTTAGCGATCTGCAAAATAAACATTGCGATGGCGTGTTAACTGAGGGAGCATCGCTCGGACGTGGGGTAATGTTTACTTTGACTTGCAGAAACGAGAATGGCCGGCTTGTATTTGTTCGGCGAAATAACGAACAGCATTCTCTATACGTACGGCATGTTGCTAGTCGTGTCCCTGCCGCGGCTACCTTCCGGGTGGTCGATTAGATTGTTAACCGGTTGGTACTGGCTGTACTGCATACTGCTAGTCGTGGCGTACAGGGCTAGTATGACCGCGATCCTGGCCAACCCAACGCCAAGGGTCACTATAGACACTTTGAAAGAACTCACCGACAGCAAGATCAAATGCGGCGGCTGGGGTACCGATACAAAGCGATTCTTCGGGGAGTCGCTCGACGATTTGGGCCTCAAAATCGGCCAAAGATTCGAGGTTGTCAGCGACCCCCAAGAGGCCGTTAGACGCGTCGCCCGCGGCGACCTCGCTTATTACTACAACAGAGACTTCTTGAAGTATCTTAGTGTAAAACGGCAAAGTGCTCACAATACGAGCACATACGATACCACGATTAACGGCACAGAGACGGCGTGCGCTGGAGTGGAGAGGAATCTGCACATCATGTCGGATTGCGTTGTCAACATTCCGATTTCGATCGGCTTCCACAAGAACTCTCCGCTGAAACCCTTAGCCGATGTTTACCTGAGGCGCGTCGTAGAAGTGGGTCTTGTTGAAAAATGGCTGAATGACGTCATGTACCGTATAAAGTCGTTAGAGAGGAATGACGAGGAAACAAAGGCATTGATGAACTTGAAGAAATTGCACGGGGCCTTCATAGCATTGGGTGTTGGGTATTTCGTTAGCCTTTTGTGCCTCATCAGTGAACTAATGCATTGGCGTTACATCGTGAAAAGGGATCCACAGTTTGATAAATACGCTATGGACTTGTATTATTTGAATAAAAATAAAAAAACATTGAATATAAGTACAAGTATATTATAAATTATTTACACTATCATAATTGTCTAATTCACTTTTAAATAAATAGTTGTATCAGTCATTTTGTATTTTCATTTAAAATTCTCTTTGTTCACTAAATGCCATATTTTGTTTTAAAGTCCAAATATCAAATAGCCCGCCAAATATCAAACAATGTCACAAATTTATTTAATTTATATTTTAAAGATAATTCTCTGTGTAATAGGTGTCAAAGAAGCATGCAACATCAATTTTATTCTAACATTTATAATTCTTCAATCACAAAAATTCTCAGTTATTAAAAATATTTATACACATTCAGTTATTTCCAGAATTATTTTGTAAAAACTTTAATTTATAATGTTATAGATAATTATTTTTTATTTAACCAATTGTTTTATAAAAAAGTAATGAACACATTGATATCAATTCAAATTATACATATCATTATATTAATCAAAAATATCAACACCAAACATCTCTAGCATCAACACATAATACACAGTAGTTAAAATACGGCAAAAATATATAGATCAAATTATAGATCATGATTAATTCATATCAAAGTATCTTGAATAAAAAATAGCTAAATTATTAAAATATGTAGAAAATGTGCGAAAAGATTGTCGCCGTTGTGTGAATCGAACCCACGTCTTCGGCATTCGCGGCCTGACGCTCTAGCCACTGAGCTAAACGGCTATATATCGCACATTTTCTACATATTTTAATGTTCAATCTTAAGTGCAAAGATTAGCACTATAAACAATTTAAATTTCTAAAAAATAGCTAAATTATGTTATGTATATAATAAGTACAAACAGAGGAAATCAAATTGTTACAACTTATATGAAAATTATCTACTATTACTATACTAGTTCTATGTATGTCAGAATTTGAAATATTTCTACAAAACTTATAGAAGTAAAAAAAATTCTGCAAAACTCAATCATGACTACTGTTTATAATTTCTTCAAATGAGATCTACTAGATTGTAAAATTTTAATAAGTCCATACTGATACATGTGATGTAAGAATCACTGGTAATATGTACTACATATTTTGTAAACCGTCTCTAAATATTTGCACACCCTGCACCTAAGTACAGAGTGATAAATATTTAAGTTAAAAGTAACACGACTGAATCTAGATACTGACTTAAAAAAAATTTCTTAATTCTTAATGGTTCAGTCATATTTAATGATACAATTATGATCAATAAACTATATAGGGAACTATGTAAAATAAATTTCACTAAACCAAAATTCAAGTGCTAATGGATTCTATGTTAGCATAATACTTTGGAAATCATATAGAATGCGTCATTTCTGTTCCATAGTACAAAATATTGGTTTAGCCCCTTCTGGGGCATTTTCTAGTATCCAAGGATGCTGTAGAACTTGGGTTAATGGTAGTCTTTGGTCTGGGTTTATCACAAGAAGCTTTCCCATTAAATCTTTTGCTTTCTCAGAAATGAAATCTGGATACTTGATTATAACATACCTAATTTTTCTATAAGTCTGATGTGAATCCTTAGCATCAAATGGTGGCAGCCCTACCAGAAGCTCATAGCACAACACACCAAGACTCCAAATATCAACGGCATAACTGTGTGGTTTCCCTTCTATCATCTCAGGTGACAAGTAATCTAATGTACCGCATAGAGTCATGCGTCTTGATGATGGTGAATGCACTGACCAACCAAAGTCAGCAATTTTTAATTCATAGTTATGACCGATGAGTAAATTTTCGGGTTTAATGTCACGATGTATTACTTTTTTTGAGTGACAATATATTAAAGCTTTAGTTAAATCCCTGACGTAGATAGCAGCGGTTCTCTCGTCAAATCTCTCCTGATCCTTCAGGAGTTTATACAGTGCTCCATGTTTTGCATATTCCAAAATCAAATAAATTCTCTTCTCGTCATGAAAGTACCCATACATTCGTAAAATATTTGGATGGCGCAATCGGCACTGAATTTCAACTTCTCGCCGCACTTGGTGCTCAATTTCCGAATCAAGAATCTGACTTTTGAATAGCACTTTTAGGGCAACTACATAATGCGATTCCTTTTCACGAGCAAGATAAACATTACCAAATTTACCTTTACCGAGAGGCCTTCCCAAATCGAAATCGGATAGCGACCATGCCTTTTTCTTATCATCTTTCTTTAATTCAGGTTTGTTAGGTTCCTTGTCGCTTTTAACACTGTGTTGCGGCCGAGAGAAAGGTAATGCAGGAACTTTGAAATTATCTGCAGCCATTTTTTGTGAACTGGTAGAACAGGTGCAAGATCGTCCACTGTTAGGTGGACGGTTTTCTTTGCATTCACACTTTTGAACGTTCATGTTATGTTAACAAGATCAAATTTATATGAAACTAACTTTGAGTTTGAATGTATTATGAGAACAAACTTATCTCGCAAGACATGCAGATTGCGGGTTTGAATAACGTACTTTACTGTATTCAGTGTTACCAAAGTCCAAATCCAAACCTCCAAACTAACTCTCGAAAATATTTATGACTAAAGTTAAAAGTATAAAGCCCCTAAAATCCCCCTTATAAAATTATAATATTAAAAAAAGTATAAATAATAAGTTGCGCAAAGATTTGTACCTTAATTTCCACATGAATGGTAATACAGTGAGTGAAGTATATTGCAACGAAAATGTTGGTATAATAAGTGTTTAAACAAAAATAGGTAGGAAAATTAATTTTATAAAAAAATCTCTTGTGATTTCTTTAGATGACCAATATTTCTACCGTAATTCCAAAAATAAGGTTCATAATGATTGATATAAATTTTTTAAATACTTTTAGCGTTTTCTTTAAAATTTATCTTACGCTATCGCTTGAATGCGTTTTGACGGACACTTTAAACTTTTATCTCTACTTTCATCTCCACATTTTTAGGTATGAAAAACCGTACTAAATGTCGCTAAGCCGCTAATATTAACCATATTTAAATATGATGGGTAGATTGCATTACCCGAGGCAGTTTATTTATATACCTTTATTTTTCTTGTTTGTTTACTCCGTAATTCTCTGGAGAAAACCCCTAAGTTGGCAATCCTGTGCCCATTGCCCATTTGCCCGCAAACAGAGCAAATGATTGAACTTTGAAGGAAATGACGGTGACATTCAGCTTTAAAACTATAAATACAAAAGAAAAGGACATTAAAAAAGAAATCTGATTTTATACATTTCCTTCATGAAAAAATGCTGTGATTTTCGTGCCTTTAATATTATAATGTGTAACAAGTTCATGTTTCACAAAATTTAAAAAACAATACAGATTTTAATGAATGTTAAAATGAATAAAAAATTCTGCATACTTATAAACATTAATAAAATATATTCAAATGTAGAGAACTAATTTGTAATTATAAAATAACATTAATTTGTTGCTCAAAGTCATTCACGACACAAGTTGTACAACCTAAACGGTAATCGATATTGAGAATATGAGATTGACAAACAGGTGACAATCGCCAGCTGTTGATTTGTCATCAAGACAACTGGACTGTGTACATAACCTATAATTTATCGTTTGTCTTTCTTCTAAAACAAGTAACTAGTGGTTAAATGTTATATTGTCATTTCTAGAAATTTAATAATTCATGATTCAAGTTCTCAAGAACAATTGTAAGTAAAGGGCAAATTGTAATTTTGATTATCACCACTGAAACAATTTAAAAATTATTGTAGGAAAAGTATTTTGTAAATTATGATAAAATGCCGAGATTAAATTTTTCTTAATATAATTGTTTAATGTTAAATGGCGCATTTCTTTAGTGAAAATAACAAGTTTTAAATGTTTTTCTCGAAAACTATAAGCCTCCGTAGAATTCTGTTTGTTGATTAATTAATTATTGATTTTTGTCTAGTTTTTTTTTAAATTGCCATAACTAAACTTAACTTCGAAATTTACTGTAAATTTTCCTTTTTATAACCCAAAAGTCTTATTTTAAAACTATCATTGGTTATTTCATTTAAGAAACCTTGTAACATATACCATACACTGCATCATTGACACTTTTTGCTGTTTAAACTTAACGCAAAGATCTCATACAATAAATTTTACTAATATAACAATTATGATGAAACATTAGAACAATGTCGGATGATGCTGAGCAGCAAGCTGAAGAAATTGAAGTACTAAAGTCAATTTATGAAGGGGATGAAAATTTTAAGCAAATAGATGCTACTACCTATCAATACAAGGTGATGGTTTCATTTAATACATGTTTTTAAAATAAATTTTAATAGATGAAAGAGAAGAAATAATAATTGTTATAAATTCCTGATCAAAATAACATCAGGTCCTGCTAAATTTTAATGTATGCGTTGGGGATTAAGTAATTACACTGTTATGTAAGTCTCTAAGACTATTAATCATTTATAATAACTAATAATGGATTTCAATCAAAATAAGAAAAATCCCTAAATACATAATACTTAAACATTTTTAAACTTTGGTGGTAACATTTGGCCTGGTATCTCTTTTTGTGAGTAGTAATAACATCTTTCTGACATAAAATTTGCAGTTTAAAAGTGTATCTCTTTTAATGTTTCAGTACATAGAAGGTGAAAAGTCATTTGTATTAGAAATAAAATGGGGACCCTCATATCCAACTGAAAAACCCAAATGTAACTTAGAAATCTTTTACAATCAACATTTGTGAGTATGATTTGATTAAACCTAATAATTATTGCATGTACTTATGTGAATTTTACACATTTTTAGGTAAATCTAAATTTAAGTAAATCTAATCATGGGTTTGTGGCATAAACTTAATTTAATTATTATGGTTGGTAAACAATAGGCTGGGACCATAAGTTTAATTTATTGGTGTAACTGATTTACAAGACCAGTTTATATTTTATCTCAAAATGATGAGAAATCAAAACAAACTTGAATATGCCTTAAATGTGTGAAGTTCAATAAATGCTTCTGGTACAGATGCCTGTATACAAGTGCGATAAAATCCATAAAATAGTATTAATAATATTTTACCTTGCTTGTAGTGTTTATTGACCCCAGGGTGGGTCAATAATAATGTTTTTCGGATGGTTTGGTTGTTGGTTACATATATCACATGTAGTAAATTGTTTCATGTTTATATAACCACAATCGGGTTATACTATGGTTAAAATGTGGTCCTTAAGTTAAATACAATTGTTATAATATATCAATGGCCAAGCGCTATAAAATTCAATATACTTGACTGACATGTGTTGTAATCTCAATACCAGATATTCAGTAGTGGGATGTGAGAAGCCCACAAAGCTACAATTAGACTGTGGACCCGGTTATGGCATGTTATCACTACATAGTATAAAATAAAGTCATCCCACTGTCCCTATGTATGCTTAGATCTTTAAAACTACGCAATGGATCTTGAAGTGATTTTTTTACTAGATAGAGTGATTCAAGAGGAAGGTTTATATGTATAATACATTGCACCTGTGCGAAGCCGGAGCAGGTCGCTAGCATACATATATACCCCTGTGTAGCTCTTTGCCTAGAATAGAGATATATGTTTGTGGTTTGTGTAAATATATGTTTTCTGTTTGAATAACATAACACACCCTGGAAATTAATTGATCGCTCCAGACTCTTTCAAACGGAATTTAATATATTGTACACATGTTTGTTATTTTTTGTCAAATTATGTTAAAAAAAAATGTCCCGCTGAGATTCCTACGCCGCTTCTGCTTATGTCAGTGACTTTTCTTCAGAACTGTTAGTAGTGCTTTTTGACAATCAATAAGTAAGTGTAATGCTAATATTGGATAAAGATTAACTTTTATAGGTAAATAATTTGGTTTATAATATGTATATACTTTCTTGTTTCTAGATTACCAACTGTAAAGGAAAAAATCCTGGCAATACTGGACACTGAAGCGGAGCAATGGGTTGGTTGCGCGATGACGTACACGTTGTTCGAGTGCCTGAAGGAGAAGGTCGCCGAGATATTGACGGAGCAAGCCGCTGAGGCGGTGGTGGCCAGGGTGGAGAAGATAACTGTCGACGATCAGGTTTGTGATCTTCCTATTTCGCATACAATGTGCAATGCTAAATGAATTATGCCTATAGTAGGCTTCCGCGTTGTGCGGTTACTTTAGAGAGCTTCACAACGGTTCTTTGTCACAGTGTGACCTCGCCCCTCCCAGCCAACCGTTTGCATATCATACGTAGCATGGCTTGCCCTAACCCTATCTCGTGGGAACTTAGCAAATTTACAACCTCCGTGTTGGGGGAAACTTTATAAATAGTCTCTGGACTATCTTTACATATCTCCCGAAAGAGAAAACACCATGCCAAGGCAAAAAAATTTGCAATTGTCCCAACCACTTTGGTATTTTCGGATGCTCTAGACGTCCGTGGCTGGTGGTTATTGCAATCCGTAAAAGTAGTTTCGTTTGGCGCGTCGAGACCCGTACGTATAGTTACGACGCTTATCCATCGCACCCATTGCAGTCGGAGGCGGCCAGGAAGCCGGAGAAGAGGGAGCAGCTGACGAAGGCGCAGAAGAGGCGCGCGTGGGACCGCGCCGAGATCGGCCGCGCCGGCGAGAAGCCCCGCGGCTGGGACTGGGTGGACATCGTGAAGCACCTCTCGCAGGCGCCGCACCAGCCCGCCTCGTGACCCTGGCGGGGAAGAACCGCACCCCACGCGCAACTCGTGTTTCTTCGCCTCCCGTTGCGCCTTGACGAGGAAGCCCCCTCGCGGACAAAACTGGCAACTCGAGCGAGAACTTGTACTTTCTGATTTTCCGTTACGCCCCGCGAGGAATACTAGTTCGTAATACTTAATTATATAATTGCGTACTCGCTTCCGTGAAGTATTAACCTCACGTATTAATATATAGATTATTCGCAGTCAACATGCCTATATGTTACAAGCAATGTCTGTACATTAGGGAAACACTCCTTTCCATAATTGTTGTGGTTTTATAACAAACTTTTTTGTTATGTGAAAAAGTGGCAAACGAGCTGGTCGTTTCACCTGACGTTTTGCAACACACTTTGGGTTAACAACACCTTTTAATAGAGTGGGCCCCGGCTATCTCACTCACCAGACGAAACGCAGAAGTGTACCACTTCTATTTAACGCCGGTCTTCTGTGAGGTTGTGGTACTTACCCGGACGAACCTGGCCATTCAAGCAGCAGCAAACACTGTTGCGTGGCCCTGCCACAGTTGAAACTGTTAATTAAAATAAAATATGTTTATAGAATGATGATTGATTGATCACAATACATGGCCTATGTAAACACTTTATAATTTTTAATTGGAGAAAATCAAACACGTGTTCCTTTTAACAGCCAAGTATTAAGCAGATAATGTAATAAAACCGATAAACTATGAATTCTCTATACAAAATTTTATTTTTACAAATACAGGGTGGCTTTTATAAAGGTGCGTTTCGTTAATCGTTTCTTGAATGAAAACGAAACTTACTTACTTACTATTATTGACTATTAAAGCTTCATCTGATGCAGAACCGGTGGGCTAGCCAGAACCCACGAGTTTAGGCTGTGGGTAGGGCCATTCATAAATGCGTCGTACATACTTTTGAAACGAACTTTTGTGCGTTTTATGCCCGGTTCCTAGGCATAGTTACATAACTTCCATAATTTTCATAACCACTCGTTGTAACGACTTCATAATGACAATGTAACTAACGGTCATTCGTTGAATATAGGAACCGGGCTTTAGTTATGAATGATCGCGCGTAAAAAATAAATGAGTTGCCCATAAATCACGCACTTTCTGAGATAAGTTAAAATGAATGTAATTAATTAATTAAGAGTGATTTTAAATATTTATCATTTTTTATATAACATTATCTATGTCTAGAATTTAAAAAAATGCATACACTTAGAAAAGCCTCCCTGTATATATCCAATGTAATGCCCGATGTTAGTTGTAATATAATAAAATATGCTGTAGTACTGAATATTTGTGAATAAAATTTTAGCTACAGTTTTCATATAAATATACAGCGTGTCGTTACCATCGCGACAATAAATGAACACACATATAGGGGATAACTTTTTAAACTTGTATTAAACATTTAAATTCTTTAAACATCAATATTTACAGAGTTATAAAATTTTCCAAAACAAAGAATTTTAGAACACCCGTACGTATAAAACTATAACGTAAAGTTCATTTGTATAGGTCACAAAGCATATGAATGGGTTGAATGGATTTAAAAAAGACAAAACATACTTTTAGAAGGAGAGGCTTGTAATGCGACGCTGTGGCGCGAGTTGTATAGGATGTTACAAATTTTGTTTTTTTTTGTTTAATTAGTTTGTTTGAAAAATATTTTTTTAATTATGGATTTTATTTAACGTTAATATTTTTTATGATTATTGGCAAGTAGCGTTAGACGTGTGTTCATTTATTGTCGCGATGGTAACGACACGCTGTATAATAAACTAGAGTTATTTGACTTTTTACTGTGCGTATTCATTACTCATTCTAGACTGTTGGTAATATTTGAATAATGTTTTTGTTGTTATTATGTTACAAAATCTGTTTTCTATCTTATCATACAATTTGAAAGAGATGTCAACCTTTGTGTTCATAATAACATAATAACTTCCGATCTCCTTAAAATAATGAAAATTTTTGAATATGCCTATTCCGTATATGTTTGATTTCCTTCTCAACCTTTGTACCATTGCATCGTATGAAAGTACGATTCCTTACGATGAATAAAGAACTAGATCTAAAACTGTACAATAAATAAGTCTAAATTTAATTATATGTAGAAAAGTGACAGTTTTTATTATTTTTTTGTATTAATTTCTTAATAGTTAAAGATACGAATATATGTTCATATTTATGAAGTAAATCTTTTGCACTGGGTTTGTTTGAAGCCGGTTGATCAAACAAATTTCTGATATTTTGAATTATAAAAAGTATGTAGTTGTCTAACGTTTTATTCCTGCAATATGAGACATTAAAAATATATTTCCTTGAAAATACTCTCAGTATTTTACTTTTACCTGGGAAGCATGCCCCGTTCGAGCTTGGCGCAAAAATAATAATTGTTCGGTAGCTTTGGTTACCGATCATTGGGTCGCAAAAGATTGGTGAGAAGTGGAAGTATTATAATTTTGCGCTGCGTCTCATGAGTGAGCTCTAAGAGCCGTGATAGCTCAGTGTCCGGGCGCTCGCCTTTAATTCAATATACTCGAGCAACCTGCACAAATCGGCACATTTTTGAAATAATAACAAAAAAATATATATATTTCGAAGATATGTGAAGTCCGCCAATCCGTAGTGGGGCCGCGTTGTGGGCTACGCCCTGATACCCTCTGTATAGAGGAGGCCTTTGCCCAGCAGTGGGACATGTATTGGCTGTTACTTTACTACTTTCTTTTACTTCGTGAGTGAGGTTACCGGACGTCATTCTTTTAAATGTTTGGCGACGCAAATAAAACTCTATAGACGTTGCAGCTGACCGTGGCCGACGCCAATCAAATGACATAAGTTGAATCGCTTGTTCGATTTCCACCTTCTTGTGGGGCGCTGTATTATACCCTGATTTATTTGAGTGTGAAAGTAGCCACAGTTGAGCGTTTGCCTGCTGTCCTGTTCTTCCATATATAAAAAAATTAGCTACAAATAATTATCTAATAACAAAAAAAAATATTTCGAAGATATGTGAAGTCCGCCAATCAGCAGTGGGGCCGCGTGGTGGACTATGCCCTCTGTATAGAAGAGGCCTTTGCCCAGCAGTGGGACATGTATAGGCTGTTACTTTCCTTTACTACTTTACTTAATTATTTCGAATCCACGTGTTTTCTGTGTCCGTGTTTTTATTTATTGAAGTTTTACAAAAATCTTTTGTAAGCCGCCTTAATGCACTTCTTTTTAGGTATATAAAAGTACCCTGTGACTTCTCTTATATACAAATGTATTCTGTGACTAAATAATACTTTAAAAGTCAAACTACTGCTGGGTGACTGTAACGTTTGCCAAATGCCCAGCTCACAAACACAGATTATATTGTAGTGATTTTTATTACTTAAAAATGTCATTGGTGACTGGAGACTTTGATTAATGCCTATCGCAAAGAAAATATGAAACAGAAATGATGCTGTCATTTGACATGTCAAGTCACCCTTTTTTATTATGATTTAGATGACGAACAATTTATTTTTAGTTAGGAATGATCTATTCGAAGCAGGAGTATTATACGCCGGCGGAAGTTGCGATGCACAACAAGGCCAACGACTGCTGGGTTTCGAGGAATGGCAAAGTGCTAGACTTGACCTCGTGGCTGGAGCAGCAAATGAAGCTCTGCAGGTGCACCAAGAGCTGCTCGTGCGCAAACAAGAACTGGTATTGCGGCAGCGCCTGTGTGGAGTACTGTAGCTGCTTCAAACGGGGCTTCACGTATTGCGACGCGAAAAGGGTGAGTGTAGAAATGATTATGAAGATATCCGAAACAGTACCTAGTTCGTTCTACGACCGTAAAACTTGACAAACCACCAAATGACATCATTACCTTACGTATATTGTAGGTCGTAAACACTTTCGAATCTCCTCTCCTGAACATTTTGAAAGGTTCCCTGTATTACGGTTTAATACATGATTGACAAACTTGTTAACAAAAATGTGTAGCTAGACTTAACAATATTCTTAAAACGATGTGTTATAGGATATATAACGTAGGTAACTATTGATTTATTACGCTACTATAAATGTTCTTTTTTATATTTTAAATATCGCTGTCCTAGTTTTTTGATTTCAAAATATTAATCTTTTATAAATAAAAACTTTTCTTTCGTTGATATAGGTAATTCTTATCATCCTATTCTAATCATCCTAGAGCAATAAGATTAGTTACATAATTTTTCTTTAAACGTTGACTTCGTCTTATTCAACTGCAGTTGAATACAATTAATTTTGTATATATATAAAATCACGAAACTCTGTGTTATACAGATCAATATAGCAATCATTCTACATTTGAAAATCTATTCAGCTCGCCATGACGATCCTTGCATATGCCGGCAAAGACGTGAGCCACTGGTTCAAAGGGGAGGAATGGGTGAAATACGTCCATCCTATAGTTGGCTCCGAAATACCGTACCAGCGGCACGGCCACGGCTTCAGGCAGCCCGTAGTTCCCTCTACACGTTGGCGTCCCATCGTTAAGCCTTGGTGGTTGGACGAGAGCATCGTCGTTGGCAAACTGACGTCCAGATCCCGGCCTATTAAGATAACCAATACGCTGTCAGGTGAGGTAAATTGATTGGTGTGATTTACTTAATACCCATTTACATGGTATAATGAGCGAGTTATTGACCTGATGACGAGTGATTTTCGATACGTCCATCGCCTTTCTCAAAATCAGGGGGATTGTTAAGATAGTCATCCTTCTCTTCTTTTATCCAATAGAAGACGGGAAAAGAATTGGTTCAAGTTTACCGGGCTTCTCTGGAGCTTTGGCACTTGGCGTTGTGAAATGTGACTCAGAATTATTTGATCAGTACTTTATACCGCATTAGTAAAATGAGTGACAAGCTATTAGTTTTGAAGAAATTACGATTGTGAATGAATACAATTGAACTGGCAAATTAATGAGGTCTCTTAGATGTGTGGTCATGAGGTTCATTGGCCGTTTGTTTTTGAACATTTAAACTTACAAATCAGAGCTTGAACTAAAGTAAAATTTAAGACAGACCTAGGTGAAATATTTTAATGAACTAGAAGTCAGCCTCTTGACTTTAGATGTCACACACATTTTTATAAATTCCAATGACGTTAAACCGCCTTTGCTCGCGTAACTGAATCTTATTTATTTCAATTCTTTTACAAGGATCCTCTGTGACTTTGGAGGTGTGCTCCGAGGAGACTATTTATCAAATAATGATGAGGTACTTGCCTCACAATTCGCACATGCACTCCTACACATGGCGCCATCTAGGGAAGACCCTCGCATACAATCGTAATTTAGAACAAAATGGAGTCTACGACGAAAGGGATCTGTTTAATGAGCTGGCGTTACCTGAGAACATCTACGTCCCTAATCTCCTATTGTATTACAACGACGATTTGACAGAAGGTAATATGCGACTTGCTAAACGTACATACATATACGTAACCAATTGGTTACGTACCACCAAACAAAAAGTTTGCGGTATCTGTGTGAATTTGCGGAATAGATATCTTGTTCTTAGATCTTAATATTATAACAAAACATCAATAAAAATAATACACATTTGAAGTCATGTTGTCAATGTAAAAATGAGCCTTCTCTAACTTTCGGGAATGGCTTTTAAAAACTATTAATGTCTGGTCTGAGGCTACTTCCTGAGTTTTGGCTACGCATGATGTTTTGACGTAGCATGATAAGTTAAAAAATAAGCTTAAAAATCTATTAACAAAACGTCTATTAACCGTTGAGCTATACGATCAGCCACGTAATTAAAATACAAACAAAATTAAAATTAGCATAAATAATAAATGTGCGTTCATGTCATTATATTTCGCAACAAAATGAGAAATGGTAGAAAACGTAGGACCAATGAAAATTGACTATTATTCCTTACATACCACATAATTTCAGATCCTGTTAAAGAAGATTGCCTTTGCCACAACAAAGAATGTAGATCTATGCCGGACCGATGCCAAAATGTTTAATAGATACCAACACGATCTGCAATATAAACAACCGCTAAATATTACAGGATCATATAATATTAAGATACTTGAAAATTGCTCATTTGTATACATATTTCTTTTACCAACTAATAAACAGATTTTTGTTGCTTCATAAAAAGTTTTAAACTTCAAACCTATCTAACACGTAGTCAATGAAATGGTTAAAGTATTAAAAGGTATTTATTATCGCAGATTTATAACAGATACACGTAAAAAGCATCATTAAAGGTTAACAGATGCAGTTGAGGGGCGCTTGTCCGCGGCTCAGCGATCGCGTGGCTACTGCATTCGAGCAGACAAAAACCCGATCTTTCGATGCAAAGAAACTACACCGACACGCACCGTAGCATCGTTAGGACTAATGCGGAAAATAAATGCATTAGGGTTATCTATTAACAGATGTTGTCTGTGCTGCTGACTTTTAGAAATCACATAATAATTCATAAATCGAGATTATAGTAATAACAGTATAGTAAGATGTTGTAATGTTGACATTAAACTGACATCGGGTGGATACTAAATAGGTTAAACCTGTATCTATAAGCTTACATTTTAAATCACTTGATCCCTTTTTTCTTCGGTGTAAGCCTACCCGATCACCACCTGTTAGTTGTTAGCACCTGGTGGAAATGATTACAAAGCCACTAACGGGTTGTTCAAAGCAGATAATTTGAGTTATATCTGCCTGTACCGTTAGGAGTTGTATTAAATTTAATTTTAAAGATTAGCTAAGTTAATACGTATGACGAATTAAAACTATATAATTTCTGCATAATAATTCGTGTCTCAATTTTAACTCTTCATTAGCTGGTAACCCTAGCGTCATAAGTTTGTTAACTTCAAGATATTTTTCTAGCAATTACTTTGAAGGGCTGGTTTTTATATGGCGCGTGCTGGGGCAGTGATATAATGGACCATATAAGGGTTTTATGTTTCCATTATTCTTGCCAGTGTATGTATAAAGTACAAGAGCTACTTCCGTTTGTCGAGACGCCGATGACTTTATTTCTGATTTATTCTTTTACCATTGCTCAATTCAATTTACGAAGGCCAGTTGATGGTGTCGTAGGTTCCTATCTTCTTTTCGACTTTTTTATGTGAATGGCTTGTAGATGCGTTGACAACCTTTAAAAAAGTGGGCACCGGTTACCTCACACACTAGACGAAATGCGAGGCCGTGGTACTTCCCCGGACAAGCCTGCCCACTCGTTCAAAAACAGAAATTGTTGTGTGACCCGTACCATAGCAAAAAGACTGCCATTCTGGATCCGTTTTTTTAATGTCAGACTCGTTATTCCAACATTATTTAAAAAAAGTTATCGCAAAATATGAGCAGTTCCTTCATCCCAACAGAAAACATCATTAAGTGCCAGTGATTCATAAAATTTTTGGTATCCTGTTCATGAGATCCCATGAGATATTCCTTAATTCGGTAATCTTTATCTTTATCTTTCTACTTAATTCTTAATCTTCTTAATTAAACGGTATAGATTTTCTGATAACATCAATGTGCATTTCTAGAGTTAAAACTACACATTTTTCGACATAAAAAAGTATTATTACTGATAGTTAAAGCACGGTCTAATTTGGAAAATTGTAAAATCACGCTTTGCCGAGTTACTAAAATTCAAAAGAATAGAATTATAGTGACATTTATTTTATTGTTACATTAACGCAAAGCACGCGTCACCGTAAATAAAATGACTTTATATGCTACGATTATCTTTTTTACAAGACGCCTTTTTTACGTCCAACGTCGGGGTCCCATAAGGCCACGTTGCGCTCCGTCGAGCGCATATCCTCCGACCTGCAGTAGGTAGGCAGAAATGCTTTATTGCGGCGAGCGTTGCCTCGTAAATGTATTCGAAGTACGAACAAAAACTGACACGCGACTTTGTGTGTAAGAATAACTAACTATTAAAACTTGTTTCGCAACTGGATATAGAATTAATTGCTTATTGTTTTAGACCCGGCCGCGTGCATCTACAGGTCACTCTATAAAGTTACGTTACCATTGAAACTATTGTCGATTTAGATGCACGGAATATGCATTTTTTTTGAACTAAAGTAATAAAATTAATATTAAAATTTTATTATAAGTACTCGTTTTTATCAAGAAACAAGAACCTGAATAAAAATAATTCGTGTAGAGTTTTTATCAGTCATTAATAAGAAAACCTACACTGGCTATGGCTAATCCCTATTTCCCTAGGGAATTTACCCCACGCGAAATCACTATTTCTATTAATGTGCCGAGCGATTGTTCTCGGTGCGACCACCACGCATGCGCGGATCGGATAATTCACATGTTACCCCAAATTATAGCACTCACCACCCCATGCAGAGTCCCAATAAAAATAACCGCTCGGAATATGCCGCCAACCATTTTCATCCATAGAGAAATGAGTGACGCGACGCGCGCACGTGTTACATTTGAAAGTTTTTGTACGAATTGGCGCGATTACGCTGTTTTTTTTTTGTTTTGATCTTCGATAGATAATCTATGGACGGAGTGCATTAGAACTGTAAGAGTTTTGTGTTACATTTGTGTCATGTTGGTAACTAATTTAAAAAGTTTTTAATTAGACGGAACTTTTTATGGTAAGTAGTTTTTTTGTTAAATAAATGAACTTTAAAATGACAATACATGTATTACTGTAAATTTATATGTTATAAACTTAGAAAGTTTGGATTTACTAAGTAGAAATGCCGTTAGGCATTTATTTTAAACGGCTATATTAGGGTTTAAAACTAAATAACTAAATGTTGACAGCTTGGACCCGTTTGTGCCTAGCAAAGTTCTGGTTAGATATTTTAAAAATTATTTACAGTTTTTTTAATCCAATACTCAAATATTAATTATAAAAGCTAAGAACGTTTTCGTAGTAGATGAAAAAAAAGTACGCGGTAATTTACACCTTTGTTTACAAAGCAAGGGGTGCTTTATAATGAAAAAGGTATGGATGTTTGCAAAATTGAAAGCGTTTATTCGGGGGATTAATCTTATTGATTTATTTCCCCTTCTGATTGACCCCACCTATTATTTCAACAGAGTTTAGCCTATTTTCCTTTGTTTGATGGCAATATTCTATAGTGCAGTTGTTACTAGGTGTTTAAAACTTACACTTTAATATAAAAGTAATGCCCCCGTATTTATACTTTACGAGAAATTGAATAAAGACTATATATAATAAGTCTTAATTAAAATTTAAGGTTCTCGAGTTTCATGACCTTTACAATGATACGTTCATATATAGGTATAATTTATAAACAACATCCGCCCATATATGTTATAAAATATTTAGTTAATAAAACTTGGTTCTTAGTGGTATATCATTCGTTTAACAAATATAATTTAGATTTTTGTTTGAGATACGCATAACCTTTTAACTGCCTGCCGAGGGAGTTATGTAAGTACATACCTATGTCTTATTCTTGGGCACGCTCTATTGCCAAAATCTTCCGATGGATTTCATAGTATGAGGCATCATTAGATTCGTCTCAGTTGTGGAAGTGACAGTATATTCTAATATAGTGTCAGCGAAGAAAATAGAGGATAGTTAGTATTCTAATGTACTTGGATTTAGTGTTTGTATTTTTTTTTTATTTACATTTTGTTATTCAGAAGAAGGAACTTTTGCAATCTTGTTGAGTTCATGTGAACTGCATTGGCCCGAGGAAGCTGCTGCCTTTATGCGGACTCTGAGTTTCAAAGTAAAACCGTCATTCATCAAAGATAATGATAATCATGGACCACATATGGCGAATAATCTGTTAGTAACCGGTAATGGTAATTAAGCCAAAATACACTGGATCAATAACAGATCCTACTCACGTTTGTACATTGTTATTTTAATATTTTTAAAATATTCAAGTTTTCATATTTTATTATTTGCAATATTATATAATTTAATTTATATAACAATATTTTTTGTTATAATTGCATAGGCTAAAAATGCTATTTCTCACTTGCAGACGTAAAATGATTGTAACATAGTTCCTTCGACGCCCACTACACATCCCCAAGTAACATTGAGCAATCGACACTTACATATTATGCTAATTTTCTGAACCGCATTAACTCCTAAAGAAGATAATTAATCTGTAATTAATAATATTTTTTAGGAGTTATTGCGAGGAACAAGCTTTGGGAAAAACAGCTCTTTATTATGAAAGCTATCTTTTTCTTATCGCTTTGATTTTTTTAACGCTTATCAATTGCTAGAATAACATAATGATTTGTTTTTGTTCCGATTAAAAACTATTCTCGCTATCATCAAAAAAAAAATCACTATCTGAATGCCTTATCGAGCGTGTCCGTTGCTCAAATCAACAGTTCCACAGTGATTTGTCTGCTATCTTTCATCCGGCTATCTGACAATGGCATAAAAACTTCGCGCCATTGTGACTGCTCGCTCGGAACAATAGATAAAAAAGGCCTATCTAATCATTCCATTGTCTATATATACTGGACACAGATAATGCTTCCCATCGAAAAAGTACCAGTGAAATTAGCTTGCAATGAACTTGTGAGTTTAAATTGAAATGAATTCACTCTGTACAAATACAAACCTATATCGATTAATTGAAGTGTTATTTTTGTTTAAATGAATTATTTACCTTTATGTATTTCTCTGGTTATATGATAATGGCGTCTCGGATATTAGATTTTTAATATTGATGTGACAGCTTATGCGTATAATGTGGGCGCCGCTTACTTTACTCATCAGATGAAACAGACGTATATAAAATACTTTTCTCTACTTTACAATTTCAAATATAAAAAAAAACTGGTCACGAAAAGACTGATATGCTGCCAGTATTTATAAAAATTAGCTTTGTTTCTGTTACAGATTCTGTTGGCGATGGCAACGCTACCAATCTACGTCTCTTTAAGCAGGTAATAAAGACCAATCGGTAGACTTTAATTAACCGGTTGGTTGACGGTTATAACAAATCTCTACCGCAATTCTTAC